TTTATTAATATATTGGAGAGAAATTTTCGAAGAAAAATCAAATCTTCTAGTGCTTTCGACGTACGCTACTAAGAATAGCTGGTAATAACTTAGCTATTAACCGTAATTACCCCACGGCAAATGGCATACAAATTAAATTAAAATATTAAACATATTTAAATTCAGCATACATACATATTAGCTATTAGCTCCTTAAATACTGTGTAGCTAAATTCGTCAATGGACAATGTACGGCGAAAACACACTAGTTAAGAAACAATATTATTCATTGTTTTACACTTTGAATACTAAACTTAAAAACTGTTTAAGACTGCTCATGTTTGTGGCGCATATCTTTTATCTCCCTCCTTCGACCGTCTCAGACTACGTTACTGACAATGTAGGTATTGATTGCTTTTTCTCTACCCTCTGCTGTGTACTCGATCGATTTTGCCTTTATACCGATAACAAAACACTTCATAAGTGGGGCAGTTACATTCGTGTAATAAACGGCGAAGCGTTATGTTGTTAACTCAATACAATTACAATCCTCAAAATATTTGCCCCTTGTTTGCTAGATCACAAATCATAATTTTTTCACAAACTTAAGCACTTTTTACAATAAATTAAAGCTAAAAATGTATTGATAAAATACATACCCTTTACCAGGTAGTTATGATTTTAAACTTCATATAAACATACATGGCATAATGAGTTGGTAAGTCTAACGCCCGGCTTCTGAAGCACTGATCATCGTAGAAGTTAACTAATCAGTTCTCAACAAATGGCAACAAATGTTATTTGAGTCAGAATGATGTTCTTAATGATCAGAATGATCAATTCAAAGAGTTTAACCATCATTTCGACAACTCAAATAATATTTGAAAAGCCATTTGACAGCTGATTAGTTAACTTCTACGATTATCAATATTGCAGAAACCGGGTGTTATAGTAATAAAAAAGTATATTGAGAGAGAAAGTCAATTTGTTTTTAATTAGTTGTTTCAAAGTAAACAAGTTTGAAATAACCACGAGTACGTCACTCAATTGCGTCAAGAACAGTTAGTATCACGGTAAAAGTAATTATGACAACTGTGATCTGTGTACTTGATAAATACTTGGAAGATTCTTGCTAATATTTAATTACCACTGGCAATACAATTCAGTATTTATTTTATTAGATACAATTCACTTAGTCACAAAACATATTGATTGTTTAAAACAATAAATTAAAAATAAAATCGCACGGTGAAATAAATAAAAAAGATTAAATAACCAAAAAAAAGGTAATCGAAAAGGCATTAGACGGTTTATTCATCGCTGCGGACAAATAAAACAAGGAGAAACTCTACAAAAGAGGTAACCTCGGCACTCTCGGCAGTGTGGCGATAACACGACTCGTGATAAGGCTGAGCAAGTAACTTTGTAGTAATAATACAATGCCAACTCAACGGCCGACCTAGCTATAACTATCGCTTTTCCACACTGTTTCACTGTCCTCCTCTTAACGCTTACTCGTCACACACCCATAATGATGTTGCTATAATAACGAGAATGAACATATTAATTACGTCTCTTATTTTAATAGCATTCATACAAAGTATTGGTAAAATTGTACCATACATTTTCAAGCATATATGAAAAACTCCGTCAATGAATTAGAAGATTTAATTTTTTTTAATATACAACTATCTATTAGAGAAGTTATATAGAAAACGTTCGTAACTAGGTCAAAAACTTTGACGTTACTCAAATATATGATTTACTTCCTTGCAATAAAGTTAACAATCATGTGACAAATGAACGGCACTTAAATTATTATGTTTCTGTGATTACGACACAAGTGATTTCTAACATAGTCGGGTTATCAACAGTGTTGCAACAATAAAAATATTTTCGTCTTTTTCACTCTTTTCGTAGGCAGTAGCATCACCTTCTTGCTGTAGAAATGGACGTTGAGATAGTTTTTGGGCTACGCGTTTTTTGTTTATATCTCCGATAATCGTCGTTGCAAACTTTTGTAATCACTTTTTAAAGCCATCCCGTTGTACAATAATGTAGTGCGTGCATTTAATATTTAGCAGAATCGTGTGTTTAATGAATTTCCCTTTGGCTTAACATAGCACCATTTGGTAGTACTTCAATTGATTTATGTGCTTGAATTGCTATAATTTTTAAAATCGTTTATTGTTTACAAATCGTCTACTTGTTGTTATATTTAAGTTTAAATGAACTTATATATCTAGTGTAATCTGTTTTTATGTAAGTTTAACGTTGTTGCAAAGTGTATAATAGAAATTATTTCCTGTGGTGTATATAAGATGGTCTCCAGTTATTGGTGAGTGCTCATGGACATTTTTTACTGCTTTCGAGTTCTTGATAACATATTGCAATTACAAAATAATTTTACGGAGTGTATGGGTGAGCACGGCGTTTATTACGAAGTAGTGTGGTTGTACACAACTTTTTGTTCACTGTTAACTTTTTGTTTTGGAACGCAATAAATAGATGTTCCCCGTAAACAGAAAGTTACCTTAACATTGCCCAATTTGAGGTTATTTTATTTATGTCATTTGGAGATGCTATTATACTGTGATTTAGTTGGTACAATTAAGTTAAAAAGTAAAAATATTATGACATTAAAGAGGTCAACAAACTTAAGGGAGTTCACGCACTGAACTTTTTAATGGTGCATTTTGCAACTAAAAATAAAAACATTGACGACCTGAATATAGATCAAATGAGACATTTACTATTTCACATACTATTTACTATCAAAACAAATTCACATCTTCACTCCAAAACATCTCTAATCCAGGCGCGATTTACGACTATAAAGAGGCACTGTACTATTATTGACAATACAATGCACTTGTTATGTCAAAACACTTGTACCCCCACTGAGACAACCCAAGGGAGGATAAAAAACAGTCACACTCTAAAGTTATTGCATGATTTTCTATATGGACAGTAAATATTTAGTCTCATATGAAATAGGATAGGACAAGAAGGTGTACATGCAGAGAAGGCTACAAAATGCTATGTTGCTTTTTCACTGCATTATCGGATACACAAATCTGCTGTACATATGTTGCCAACCTGTTGCTAAACAGGTGTCAAACAAGTTGTGTATATTAAAAGCAAATATTCATTTTTTGGTATGTTTGTTATTATTTACTTATTTCATGATCATACGGGTAATTTTATTATCATTTTAAATGTTTCATAAGTTTATATTTTTTGAAATATATGGATTGGTTTGTCCCTGTTTAGTGAAAGGGTAAGTTAATGTAATTATATCTGTAGGTAAAGAATTTTTCTGAATGTTTTTGATGGTTTGTATGGTTAAAAATTAACAAGTATAAATTAGGTACATGTAAATAACTCATGTTGATAATTTTCTAAATTGCATTTAGAAATTTAATAGAATGTCACAATTTGGCTAATAATAGTTGTCAGATTATTTTACCATAAAATAAGTATTGATACACAGTGAAGAGTTAAAAGTTGCATTCTCTTATGAGTTTTTTGTCCCTATTTCTGAAGTCCATAAATACTTTTCACATTTTTTTCTCCTTTGTTTACTGTGTCGATATACCACAATGTCATAGAAAACCAGCGTCTCTTGCATTTCATCTGGTGAATGAGGTGCCTGGGCCCACTGTTGTTTTCTATGATTGGCAACACTTGCAGCCCCTGAGGCATTGTAGATGTCCATGGGCGGTGGTAATGACTTAAAATCAGGTGAACCACATAACCACTTCTTCTCAAAGTAAGAGCTAATAAGGGGTGTACTTGACATGTTTGGTATGAATTTTATAAAATGTGTATAGGATTTGTGTTCACGTTGAGATTTGTGTATACCAAGAAATGTATCAACAGCTTATATCTTATACTTTGCGGTGAATTAAGGGTTTACTAATGTTAAATATGTATTCATTGTGTCAAAAATTTCCTTTATAACTTAACTAAGATTAAGATTTCGCCTAAGGTGTCTCACGTAAGACTGATACAAAATAAATGAATTCAACATTGAGATAAAAACAACTCTGCAGTAGTAGACCGTATGAATAATAACGTGATAGGATCAACCACAGGCTGCCTTTTAAATGCCTACCGTTGTGAACAATTTGTGACATACAAATGTGTTTAGTGGCAAAATCTATGTTGTATAGTTGAAGGGGACAAAAATAGATCTTTTGTATCATTACACTATGAATAATACTTTTTATGATCGTGATAACAGTGGTTCGTTGGTCTTTAAGAATGACGATGTATATGCACAGTTTGTTTAAAGGCCAAATGAACTGATTCCTTTTCAAATTATTTCAAGCATTTAATGTCAGCTTGTCAGCTTTATGGCAACTTGCTTATCTTCTGTCATGACTGAAATATGAGGAAGTATAGCAATTTTTTTATTGTCTTTGATGAGAATTAAATTAAATTAGCTTTTTACATATGACATTTTACACAATAAATTAGCAAGTTCACCCGATGGTATATTTCAATAACCTGGACTTCTGGTACACTAGAGAGATTACAGATGCTCTACCATCCTTTTACATGTCTTCATCACCTTTTTTTTAATAGAACTGTGGTAAGACCACACAACAGTCTCTACTGTTGCACGAATGGGCAGGTCTCGTCCGGAGAAGTAGCACGGCCTCACAGAAGACCGGCGTAAAGTGGAAATATTAAACATTCGCGTTTCGTATGGTGAGTGAGGTAACCGGGGTCTACGTTTTTAAAGATTGTTAATGCATCAGAAGCCATTGGGTGTTGTAGATATCAATGGAAGGCCATATTTATTTAATATGAGGTGAACTGACACTGCTCGCATAACAACATTTTCACATAACAGACAAATTGCAAATGTGTTAAAAATTTATTCTACACCGCCGCCTTCTGTGAGTTAGTTGCGATTCCCGATTGAGCCAAACCATTCATGCAATAGAAACTCCTGCATCCCGCTGCCATTTTCTAAATTCATCATTTCTCCATTTCCAGTTAATACTAGAGAAATGGCATTGTGCGAGAGTCAATTGGATTCGGCGTTGCCTCAGCTTAAGAGGGAGGAGTCCTCGCCGTGCAGCGAGGGTCAGGTGTCACCCGAGAAGAAGGCTAAATTGGAGCCGAATGGAGACATATACGGGCTTAACAAAGGTACAACGTGTCTCTGTTAGGTGTACGCTTCAGGTACTATTGATTGATAACAGGGTTGGATTTATTGTTCGGTGTGCTTTTGCCTATTATCGATGTTAGATTGCACAGGGCACGGTACTAGCGCCATGAATCTTTCCTTATTTAAAATCTTTTTTTTTATGTCACCAGTTCTTCAGTGATTTTTTATTTCTCTGAACTCGACAACTCTTAACAGCTTACAGTTTATATCATATTGATGCTCATAATAGGTTATTTATTTCAGTTTTACATTCGGGCTGTTTGTATCTTAATGTAGAGAAAAATAAATTATTTCGTTAAAGTAATCGATGTTTGCGCTTTTGGGCCGTACATAGGGCTCTGCTTCCAAGAGTGAGCAAACAATCAATCTGCTTACCTGATTTTAACCTTAACATTCACCTCCACTAGAGGGTGGGGTACCCTTGCACTACACAACAGTAGAGATTTGAAGAACTACTCTCTTATGGGTTTTTGTCTATGTCTATTTGCTTTTTGTTTCTTAACTTACATAATCTCAACTCAACTTAATTAAAGAGATATATGTACAAAAATAATACAGACCTTGTTATTTTTAACTTGCAATATTCGATTCAGTGCTTTTTATACAATATTATAATTTTCAGTTAGATTCTACTAGAAACCGACTATTTTTCGACATTACTATATTACTCGTATGATGTTATATAGTTTGTAGATGGTGATAGGTATGCTTTACGCAAATGCCTATTTTCCCTTGCCTTGGGGACACAGAAGATTTTTAAAGCAACATTAATGTGCCATTGTCTGGATGGTTATATGTCAAATGCCTTCATGTATGGGAAGGGCTATTAGGGAGAAACATTAAGGGTGTTTTTAATTTCATGCTGCCTTTTAAAGTCTGTGTCTGAATAACTGTGTCAGGGCTACGCAACAGTTTCTGCAGTTGCACTAATGGGTAAGCTTGTCCGGTGTTGAGTGGCCTCACAGAAGACCAGCGTCAAGTGGAATTATTAATATGTGTTTTGTTGGATGAGTGAGGTATAGCCAACTATTTTAAAGGTTGGCGACACATGTAAAATCCTGTTTGCTTAAGTCATCTCAAGTTAAAACAGTTTCTTTGTGAACGGGCTCTTGAGTTCTATCCTTGAGGTACACTAATTTCAGGAGATTTATTAATGTGTATTCGGAATAATGTTGTAGTTGTTTAGAACATGAATTTATTTTATGGTCACTTGTGTTGGAAATAGCTATGATCAAAACCTTTTCATTTGGTATGTTGTTTTGTACGAATAAATTGTGTGTTCATTATGTAACTGTGGTCTTAATTTGTATGTTCCTAAGTCCACAAGATGTTATAAAATTTGACAAAATAAGTTTGATTTTCAGCTATAGTTGGCTATAAGATGGTAGATTACACAAACGCCTGTTTCTACGTTTATGATCATAGTCATCTGTAGTACATACATTTATTTTATCTGTACCCATAAAATGTCGATATATTTTTTATCTGTCTTCCTCAAAAGATTCTTTCAACTGGCACTTTCTCTTGTAACACGGTCTCTGTGCTTCGTGGCTTACGTATAGTGAATGATAATAAGAAAAAGGTTATCTTAATTAAGGCCCTTGAAAGGTTTTTTTTTAATCTGTGCCCCTACGAACGGTTTCATAATACGTGCGTACATGGGTATGTGTGAGTGTGTACGTTTTTGTATGTGTTCTTGTTTCGTGTGGGGATCGAACCACGTGCCTTTCTCTAACGAAGTAAATAAATATTTCAGGATATATTTTTACACAACATATGCCTTGTCCCAAACAAAGCAGTCTGTATTAGGTATCAGATCAACATACTTTTATAAACCCACAGACGATATTTAAACATCATTTTCGTCCCAAAATATTTTAGCAGTAGTTGGCATCGAACCCACACCCATTGGCGCAAGAGACAGGTTCAGCGTCCACTGCGCCAGTAGGGTCGTCGTGTAAAAAATAATGTAGAAAAACATTTTAAATAAAGTTGGCCACCGCTGCCTCACTCACCAGACGAAACGCTGAAGTCTAACACTTCTACTTTACGCCGGCCTTCTGTAAGGTCGTGGTACATATCCGGACCTGCCTATTCGTGCAACGAAAGCCTTGTTACCGATTTGTTCAAGGGAACATGAAGGCGTTACCCCAAAAACACAATCGAATTGAGAACCTCCTTTTTTGAAGTCGGTCAAAGAACATTACGTCCGTCGCAGAATACTTTAACGATAGTGGGACCTACTTCACAGTCACACACTGACGCGATAGGCGGATCACTGTCCACTCGTAAATGACGGTGGTCGAATAAAAAAAAAAGATTAGCGTATATAATATCACCCGCGCCCCCTTGGTCCGTTCCAGTGCCGGGTGGGCTGCCGCTGAGCGTGGACTTCCGCTCGCCCGTGTCCCACTTCGTGCCGCCCGCCGTTGAGCTCTACGCGGCGAGGAAGAAGCCCGAGGCGATCAGAGGTGAGCACGGGCTGGTGTTCCGGGACGCCCTGATGCTGCATGCTGGGTTCTGGTAGCCGGGAAAGGCAAGAGTGAATAGGCTTTTACTGAGCTAGCGAGCTTACCATCCACGGCTTCATCGACATTTACCATCAGGTGGGATGGCAGTCAAGCGCTAGTCAGTGCCGGGATGCTGTGACTCATATGCCCATGGATTCGACATCCAGAAGTCACACGCCTGGATAGTGTCTGTGGCGTTTGGATATGCCCACCGATGCCCCTGGATGGCCCACCCACCCTAGCATACAGACGTAACATGATGTAGAGTAATTGGATGACGAGTTGCTGGTATGTCGTGACGTCTGGATGCCCCAACCCAGCGTCCAGACTTCACATGCTGGGATGACGTGGTCCTGAGTTGCTGGGATGCTCTGTGATATCTGGGTGACGTGTGTTGCGCTGCTAGGATGCTTGAACGTTCATGAGCTCGCGTTTAAATCGACATAATCGAGCAATCCGAGTTCGAATCCCGGTGTCGGCACCAACTAAGTGTCAATTGTAATTTTAAGTGGTGACTCGGGCTCGGGAGACCATCGCGAGGAAAGGAAAATATTCTTTTTTTTTCTTATGTGCGAAGGCGCCAAGCGAGCCGGCGTTTCACCTGATGGTGAGTGACAACCGCCGCCGTAGGGTTGCAGATGTGTTGCTACCTGCTAATAAATTGGGCCCCGAATATTTCACTCACCAGACGAAACGCGAAAGTGTAACACTTCAATTTCACAGACTGGCGGCTCCCAAGCAGCCCAAGGAGACGGGTGAGTGGCACAAAACCATGACTTTTTTTTAATGCGAAAAGTTGCCAAACGAGCTGACGGTTCACCTGATGTTAAGTGGATCCCGCCACCCACGGACATCTGCTATACCCGAGAGTTCCAGATACGTTGACAAACTTTTGAAAATTGGCATCCGGCCACCTCACTCACAAGACGAAACGCGAAAGTATTATACTTCCACTTTACGCCGGTCTTCTGTGAGGTCGTGATACCTCCCTAGAGCTGCCCATTCGCGCAATAGCGAAGACTGCTGCGTGGTCTTACCATAAGTAATGAAGGCTGGAAAGTGTTCGAAACGCAGTGAATTTAAAATTCTAATTTAACACCATAAAATCCATAAAATATTTTTATCTCACAATGTATAATATTCGAGTAAAACAAGAAATCAGTCCTAATGTATGTATTATAGTATATATTCAATATAAATTCTGTATATCTTCATATGTACTCACATTTCCTTTACATCCCTTGGCATATTTTGGCTAAATAACACACAGAATTATGGTAATCTATACCATATGTTTACATATCTCGGTGAGAATTTACACTCATTTGTGCCTCTGCATTTCCTGACATATGTCTTGCATGTCTTGGCATATCTTTATAATATACTTTAAATATATTTCAGGACATATTTGACTATAAAGACCCAACCAAACTAAACAAAGCTTGTCCCATGGGTGGTGATGAACTAACTTGAACACTTTTCTTATTTAAATAAATACATATACATATATTAATATCCAGACACTAGAAAAACATTATGTTCACAAGAATATTTTCCCAGTTGATGATTCCGATGCGATGTCAAAGTATTCAAGTAAGGGTTCGATTCCCACGCTAGACAATGATTTGTGTGACCCGCATATGATTGTTTCGCTTCTGGGTGTCTGTCCACGTGAAACTTACTGATGTAAACATCCTTATAATACAGGATAATGATGATATTTTCCACAGTAGGGGCAATATTTAAAAAAAAGTAAAACATCCTTACAACACAGGATATCCAGTAGGGACAATAGTAAAAAAATAAAATAAGAAAGAGCCAGAATCGCTGTCCACCGCTCCAATCATCTCAACATCTGAAGTGCTTTTGTTCTTATTTCAGATACGAGCAATGGACCCAGGTCGGTGTCCGATGGCGGCGCAAGCTCCGCCCTGGCCACTCCCTCCAAGCGCAAGAGGGGCAGGCCGCGGATAGACAAGAGCAGTCCGGAGTACATAGCCAACCTGGCGGCCCGCAAGCAGGCCAAGGAGATGGGTGAGTGGCACAAAACCATGATCTCTTTCTTTTTATGTAAAAAGTTGCCAAACGAGCTGACGGTTCGCTCGATGTTAAGTGAATACCGCCAGTCATGGACATATGGCTGGCCCATGGGCATACTGCTATACCCATGGGTACCAGTTGAGTTGACAACGTCTTGAAAATTGGGCTCCAGCCACCTCGCTCACCAGACGAAACGCGAAAGTATTATTATTACTTACACTTTACGTCGGTCTTCTATGAGGTCGTGGTACTTACCTGGACGAGCCTGCCCATTTGTGTGTGCAACAGCTGATATCATATGCAAACGAGCTAGTTAGATGTGACACGTACCGAAACTGAGGCGCTCAAATTGCAATTCTATAAACTGCTATCTCCTTACGTATCATATGTTCTGTATTGTCTGTCACATTCACTTATTTATGTCGTATAATGTGATGGGGAACATTACGAAAACGAGTTTATTATACGACCGTTTGTAATGATATTTTCCAACTACAATAACAATAAAGAAATAGTATATGTAGTAATAGTCTAATAATACCAATAAAATTGAAATGGGATGACATGGGAGCTAAACCGAACCCAGTGCAAAAATAATTCTTAAAATCTCTTCATAAAATTATCTTCATTTTTGGGCTGCGTCGTGAAGCAAGGTTGCTGCAAGTAAAGATGATACGGTAACATTTCGATAGATGGCGTTGTACGAAAATAATTATTTCCGTCTCCTCAACAAGGGATGGCGCTGACGTCGTTGTAGAACACACTATCGTTTGACCGTCGCTCGCGGGTCTATACCGTCGTCTGAGCGCTGTTCAATCGTTCAGCAGTGGACTTCTAAGTGACCAAGAGGTCGCTTAGAAGAATTTTTTATGAGCCGTTCTTCACTTTGGTGTGTTGAATGGTTATATTTATCGTGTTGAGTTTCGTGTTGCGTGGAAAGGAAAATCACGTGTAAATGTATGTTAATTAGAGATGGGTCGTATCGCTTTTTCTGAGTACCGTATCTGAATCAGATTTCGATTTCGAACTTATTATAAATATTAATTGTGCAGGAGTCTTTAAAAGTTGATTCATTCTATCTGTTATTATCAGTATTTTCCTTATATTTTAAACTTAACATTATATATTTACAATTATGTGTGGGTTAATAATTATTTAGATTCCTCCGGGTTTAAATTCACGTTTAGGAACGTAAGCTGTTTGACTTTATTCGTCGAAAGTCTTGTTCGACGATAATTATACCTATACATCATCATCATCATCATCATCATTTCAGCCTGTTCGAGTCCACTGCTGAACATAGGCCTCCCCCACAGACTGCCATGAAGTACGATCCTGAGCCACCTGCATCCATCGACTTCTCGCACATTTGCACAGGTCGTCACTCCATCTAGTGGGAGGTCGTCCCGCACTGCGATGGCCAGTACGAGGCTGCCACTCGAGAACCTTTCTTCCCCAACGTTTATCGGTTCTACGAGCTATATGGCCGGCCCATCGCCACTTCAGCTTGCTAATCCTCTGAGCTATGTTGGTTATCTTAGTTCTGCTGCGGATGTCTTCGTTACGAACTCTATCACGCAGAGAAATACCGAGCGCTTAGCGACTTTGAGCTTCCTCATACGGCCAGCAGTGAAGGACCACGTCTCGGTTCCGTAGGTCATCACTGGCAACACACATTGATTGAAGACTTTAGTCTTCAAACATTGAGGTATATTCGACGAGAAGATTTGCCGAAGTTTCCCGAACGCTGCCCATCCGAGTTGGATTCGCCGATCGACCTCTGCGTCGAAGTTGGACTTACCTAGCCGGACTAACTGTCCTAGGTAAACGTACTCGTCAACAACTTCGAGCTCAGTGCTCCCAACGACAACCGGTATAGGCGTGACATGGACATTAGACATGATCTTCGTCTTGTCCATGTTCATCTTAAGGCCCACCCGTTGGGAGACACTGTTGAGGTCATTGAGCATAGCACCCAGGTCCTCCAGCGATTCTGCCATGATGACTATATCGTCGGCAAATCGAAGGTGGGTGATGTATTCGCCATTGATGTTAATACCTCGTCCTTTCAAGTCCAGAAGCTTGCAAACATCTTCCAACGCAGCGGTGAAGAGTTTCGGGGATATGACATCACCCTGTCTTACACCCTTCTGCAGTTGGATAGGTTTTGTACTACTGGACTGTACTTGGACGGATATCGTAGCCTTGCTATACAAACACCTCAGCACCTCGATATACCGACAGTCAATTTGGCACCGCTGAAGAGCCTGGAGTAACGCCCACATTTCGACAGAATCGAAGGCTTTCTCTCATCGCATCTATACTCATCGGTCTTCTGTATAATCTGCCGCAAGGTGTGTATGTGGTCTATGGTACTGAAGCCTTTTCGGAATCCGGCTTGTTCGGGAGGCTGGAAGTAGTCGAGTCGATTCATTAGTTAGACACTTCAAGATGATTCTTGAGAACAGTACATAGACGCGGCTCAGAAGGGATATCGGTCTATAGTTCTTCAAGAGAGCGTTATCGCCTTTCTTGAAGAACAGCACCACCACACTTCTGCTCCACGCCTCTGGTGTAGCACCACCCCGAAGGACGGAATTAAAGAGCCTCTGAAGGACTACAAGTACCGGTTCTCCACCAGCTTTCAGAAGCTCTGCTGTAACTCCGTCCTCTCCCGATGCTTTGCCATCCTTAAGATGGTCGAGAGCCATTCTAATCTCGCTCAGACTGACGTCCGGGATATTCTCGGAATAGTGTCGGATAAGCTTTGCTCTTGGGTCGTTACTCACACATGTGTGTGGCTCCAACGACGATGTGTACAGCTGTCCATAGAACCTCTCAATCTCACTCAAAACCTCTGGTCTACTGGAGATGACAGCGCCGCTGTCAGTCTTCAACTTGGTCAGTTGGCTTTGTCCGATAGACAGATCTCTGGCGAAGACTTTTGAGCCTAGGTTCCGCTCTATAGCTCCCTCAATACGGGCTGTATTGAAGTTGCGTAAGTCTCGCCGCATGTATTTGGAGATCAGCCTATTAAGCCGCCTGTAGTCTGACATGTCAGTTGAAGACTGCAGCCGCATCTCACGTCTTTTTCCCAAGAGGCTAAGAGCGTGGTCGGAGAGTTTTTGCGTTCTATTTGTGCGGCGGGCCTTATTAAATTTAAGGCCCACGGCATGGACAGTTTCCACGAGCTTAGCGTTAATATCGGCCACAGTGCTGCAATTTTCTAGGCATTGGAAGCGATTATGTAGCTCGAGCCGAAAGCTTTCGGAGTTCTGGATATGGGCACGAGATGGTCGGAGTGTGGACTTCATTAGACGAGATCTTTCCAGCCTGATGTTAATATTCAATGTGCCTCTCACCAATCGGTGATCACTGCCGGTCTTCACCCTTGTGATCACAGAGACATCATTGAATATTTGCCGTTTGTTCGTCATAATGAAGTCTATCTCGTTTTTTACGGAACCATCGGGGCTAATCCAGGACCACTTTCTGTGGGGCCGCTTTTTGAAGAAGGAGTTCATCATAAAGAGTCCCTCCTTCTCCATAAAGTCAGCCAGCTGCTGGCCCCTTGGGTTCCGTTGCCCTATATCAAAACTACCTACTCTCGGCTGATCGTCTTTCCTTTTGCCTAGTTTTGCGTTCAAGTCTCCCATTAACACCATGTACTGAGTTTTGGAGGAATGTATGGCTCGTGATATGCTCATACATTGCCTCCACCTCATCATCGGGATGTGTCGACGTTGGTGCGTAAACCTGTATGACCTTCAGCGAATACCGATTGGATATTCTGTGTATAAGGTACGCAACCCTCGACGACACACTCTCGATTTTAACAACGTTGTTAATGAGAGATTTGTGGACGATAAATCCGACACCTCCTTGGGATAGTTGGTGGCCCTCCCGGTGGTAAAACAGGTTGCCGGATTCGAGGATTATCGTGTCCTCCCCCTGTCTTCGGACTTCAGATAATCCTATTATATCCCGGCGCACCCTGTTCACCTCTTCTTCCAGCTCTGCAATCTTCTCGTCAGTCCTCAATGTTCTTGTTTTAATTAATTACCAGTGATACCAACTGTTCAAAAAGACTAATCCTACATAAATTCGAAAACCCACTAAAATTGACTTAATTCAAAAAACTTACTGAATTTAAAATCACGTTTTTTTAGACTATTAAGGTAAAATTAAAACATTTCCTGATTAAATTAAAAATTTCATTAAAAATAGAAATTGAAGTAATATAAAAATGATTTATTTTAACATCTTATATATCATTAAAATATGTAGAAAAAGTGCGAAAAGATTGTCGCCGCTGTGGGAATCGAACCCACGTCTTCGGCATTCGCGGCCTGACGCTCTAGCCACTTTCTAGCCACGTTCTAGCCGGCGACAATCTTTTCGCACTTTTTCTACATATTTTAATGTTCAATCTTAAGTGCAAAGATTAGCACTATAAACAATTTAAATTTCTAAATCTTATATATCGCTTAATAATTAATTTAACATATTTTTAGAACACACAATCATGAGTGACAATATTTTTATAATTTGTGTAAGAAATAATACATTCAGTATTATAACTTAGGGCGGAAGAATTTAAAATATACACCCAAAGCACATAAGCCTTGGTCTGATTTCCACCCAAGCAGCACAGCACTATTAAATTATATTTTTCTTTTTGTGTAGTTTTATTTTTTTCCAAAAATATGAATAATATTTAACTAATAAAAATATTCACAAAAAATTTACCTCCAAAAAGATTTCCATTATATATTTTTCTTCCTTAATTTAGGCAGAAAATTCTTAAGTAGTAAGTTGGCATCCCTTACTATTACGTGCTTGGTACCAATGCAATTTGCATGGTTTTAAGATTCAAAATTACTTAACATATTCATAATATCTGTTTAAAAATCTGATATTGTGCCTTGCTTGCCGTACTGCTCTAACTAGTGAGTATTTGTATCTCACGCGCTTTGTCTCTCGAAATCTGTTTAAAAATCAGATGTTGTGACAAACGCGTGTGATATCGCGATTCGTGTCGGTATAGCGAGCGAGCGAGTATTCGGTACATCAGATTTCGGAAATATCAGATATTGTAAAATACATAGATTTTGAACGAGCCAGTAAGCGATATTCGGATATTGTACTAATATATAGTTTTCATATCTGATACGATTTGTATCGCCCACTTCTATCTGTTACAAAATGATAGCCTGTTCTTTCATATTATGTTGTGACAGGCGTGCAGCCATAGTTACCATAGAGTAACGTATATACTGCACAGCTACGTGTGTATCCGAATGCAAAAACGAGATAAGAAATTATATCATTGCTGCATGTCCGTACTTCCCTTTCTAATATAGCTATTATAATCTACGACAAAAAATAAGACCTTGAGACAGTGACAGAATGTTCAGTAACAACTGTGTCAGGGTGTAACAGTTTTTATTTCTTTCTAAGTAAGGTAACAATCGTAAGCATGAATAGGGAAAAGCTTGTGACAGCGCATTAAGTAGTGTAAAGGTCTAAAAGTAAAAATTAATGAGTGATATTATACCCCTCAGACACGTGACCGTCTAACAAGTCAAATCGTCAACTTGGTGAACTATGACATTTCAAAATAAACGCGTTTTATAATCTTAATCGCACTCTCCCTGGAAACAAACACCCAGATCCGGAGCAATCGAACCGTGGGAATCGAACCCACGACTGGTAGCAGCAACAGCGCCACCGGATCATCGTAGTTTGTGGAATGAGAATAATTGTTATTTTAAGCGCTAGATGGCGCTGGCGTCCGTTTAGAACGCGCTATGCTTTGACTGACGCGCGTGGTTCTATACATTCGTTTGAGAGACAAGATCGTTCAGCAATGGACTCCGAAGTAGATCGAAGTGCTCGCTTAGACGAATTTTTTCAGAAACCGTTCCGCACTTTCGTGCCTTGAATGGTTTTTTTTTTAACATTGAGTATAACTGATGAGTTATAACTAATATAACTTGTAACAGTTACTTTGATGTTTGTAATCAGGGATGTGAACCGATTACAATTTTACACACCGGTTTTATACCGATTACTTTAAAAAAAAAAAACCGGTTTTTAAAGGTTTTTATTAAGTTTTGTAAAAAGAGCTTATTGGCTCATTGGACTAAAGTCATGGTGCCCATAAACCGCAGGTAAGGGAGAAACAGCAACCAGTATAGACATTTAAAGGAGTTTTGTAGGTCTTTTTTATGCGAAAAGTTGTCAAACGAGCAGAGGGTTCACGTGATGGTAAGTGAATACCGCCGCCCATGGACATCTGCCACACCCGAGGGTTACGGATGCGTTGACAGCCTTTTGAAAATTAGGCTCCGGCTACCTCACCCACCAGACGAAACGCGAAAGATTTTGTCATACTTCCACTTTACGCTCGTAGGTAGATGTCAATGCCGCTTAGCTTGGTCGATGAAGGGTCTGGGTTCGAAACCGGGTTCGAATCCGAAGCAAGTTTGTTTTGCGGAGTGGAAACTTTTTGTTTATTTTAAGTTTACTTCTTGTTTATATTACTTCATTTATAAGGTTTCATCTTGAGTGCAGAGAAAATAAAAATCAACCCGAACAATGTTACTGGCCTACAAGTGGATTGACCTAAAACCGACCGCCCGGACTTTGGCGCTCCACTTTTTTCTCATCGCGGTCCACTTTTCTTAAAGGTTGTCACCGCTTCGGCAAGGGTTGAAAGGGTTGCCAACGCATCTATAACCCTCGGGTGTAGCAGATGTCCATGGGCAGCGGCATTCACCTACCATCAGGGGAACCGTCTGCTCGTTTGGCAACTTTTCACATAAAAAAAAAAAGAAAAGAGATAGCCACATACAAGTTTTCGCAAATAGATCAAAGAATAAAAACTTGATAGATAGAAACTAGAGATATAGATAGATGAGTTAGATGGATATAGCTTAAGGTACGCGAGGTTTAATGTACAAGCTACCGGTTCCGTTTCAGCGGCGGTGATGAACAGCCGAGCGGAGACGGGGGAGAAGCGTAAGCGAGGCAGGCCGCGAGTGGACAAGACCAGCCCCGAGTACTTGGCGAGGAAGAGGTCCAGGGAGCTGGGTGAGTGCGGCCCACACACTGGTGGGGCCACAGCGCGGATCCCCACATTGAAACCCACCCACCGGAGTGGAAGTTTTGCTCAATACTGGAGGGGTCCCAGAGTGTATTCCCAAATTGTATTCCCACCCACCAGAGTGGAACAGTTTTTGCACAGAACGCTGCACAAATTGTCCGAAATGTTTACAAGGACCCTACCCATGTTTTTTACGTGGATTCCCACATAGAGACCTTCCCCCCAAAGTGCACAGTTTTTGCCCAGAACGCTGCATAGATTGCATGAAATGTTCACAATGACACTAGCCATTTTTTTTTACGTGGATTCCCACATTGAGACCTTCCCACCAAAGTGTACAGCTATTGCATAGAACGCTGCACAGATTGTCTTAAATGTTCACAAGGACCCTACTCATTTTTTTACCTTGATTCCCACATTGTGACCTTCCCACCAAAGTATACAGTTATTGCATAGAACGCTGCACAGATTGTCTTAAATGTTCACAAGGACCCTACTCATTTTTTTACCTTGATTCCCACATTGTGACCTTCCCACCAAAGTGAACAGTTTTTGCACAGAACGCTGCACCGATCGTCTGAAGTTTCACAAGGAGTTGTCGAATACAGTTCTTAGTTACAGCAATATTTAACTACGACAATGGTGATCGAATATTCGTTTGTTTATTTTTATAAATATAATATAGGAGATATGTATACTAGTGATGCATTATGACGAGGTTTGAAGGGACAATAAACGAAATGTACAATATTGGCGACCACAAAGGCTGTGCAGATAGTGTAGTAGTGATTTACATGATTGGTGTATTAAGGCCCATTTACACGGTGCCAGTTTCTTGCCTGTTGTATACAATTAAATTGAAGCAATAAATAAGTTGCATGGTCTAAACAACAAATGGTCTAACCAATTATTGCGCAATTTATTGCATGCAATTATTGCTCTTGCATGTACAAGAAAATGGCATCGTGTAAATGGGCCTTTATAGTAGTGATTTAAATGATTCGTAGGGGCGGTGTTGTAGAGTAGAGAGTGTATACAAAAGTGGTAGAGACACGAAAGAACTGTAATATACCGGAAATTTACAAGATTGGCATATAAGCACATTGGTCGTAGAAGAAGTGTCACTTACATGAGTGGAAAACTATCACGGAGGCACTACGGTACTCGTCAAGTCTATTACGGTCTAGACTTCGATGTCTACCGCTTTGGTACTATTTACCTGATCTAGATAGATATGATCGAGATTTAATGTTGTCAATATTGGGTAAATAAAAATACAGTAGGAATAGAGTATTAAGGATGTATAGAAGTGGTGAATTATCAAGTGGGTGTATACGATAGTGTAGGGCGGGACTCAAGTCACGAAGTCTGTACCGGTCTGACCTACTATCATCTACGGCACTATTCAAGTCTATTACGGTCTAGACTTCGATGTCTACCGCTTTGGTACTATTTACCTGATCGACATCGATTTTTTTTCTTTTTGCCTCCCGTACGTACCGTTCCTCATTTTTTTTTTCATTTCTTTTGCATTCTCCCCCAACAGAGGCGTTAGAGAAGAAAGCGAAGAGGGAATACAGGAGACGCACGACCGGTGGTGAGATTTTTTCTTTTTTCCTCCCCCCCTTTTTTTCTTGATTCATTTACTTTTTTCCTCGTTTTCATTCGTCTCGCTTTTTATATATAGACTTTTACGCGATGGAGAACATTTTTTCCTCATTTCATTTCTTTCTGGTGGGGTTTTCAACGAAAGCTATCGATTAATATGCCTGGTAATATAATAATTATTTGTGAAAATGACATCTAACGATTAAATGCATTTTATGTATGTATTTTTGTATGTTGTATCATAAAAAAATTGAAATTAAAAATTTTGTCTAAAAAATAAAAAAAAAAATTTAGGGGTGGACTACCCCTAACATTTAGGGGGATGAAAAATAGATGTTGGCCGATTCTCATAGATACCGGATAAGCACAAAAAATTTCATCAAAATCGGTCAAGCCGTTTCGGAGGAGTATGGCAACGAAAACTGACACGAGAATTTTATATATTAGATTTATGTCAGACTAATTGTAATATTTCTTTAATGTCATATTAATTTACTTTACTATTTTTCATCTTAATAAATATTCAACAGATCATAATCATAATCTCCTCTTAAAAGGTTTTTCAAGGAGAGTTTTGACATTGAGTGTTATTAAGTTCACTCCATTTGTACATTTTCCGCCATATTTGTAAATTTTTCGTCATATTTGTAAATTTTTCGTCATATTTGTAAATTTTTCGTCGTATTTGTACATTTTTCGTCATATTTGTACATTTCATCCGAGGTTGAGTGGCGTGTACGGGAAAAACGCGCAGAACATCCCGGGGTAGTCAAGTAATAAGCGTAGATATTATCTGAAAGTACTTGCGGCGCTATATTTATTGACAAACCGGCAGAAACGCAATACACAATTGAAAATCTAATATATAAAATTCTCCTGTAATGGTGTTTTGTAATTTAACTGCTCCAAAACGGCTCGACCGCTTTTCGTGAAATTTTGTGTGCATATCGGCCAGGATGCAGAATCGGACAACATCCATTTTTCATCCCCCTAAATGTTAAGGGTGGTCCACCCTAAACAGTTTTTGCTACCCTACAAATTCCCTAGAAATAATTTATATGGCAGAGCAACGTTTGCCGGGACAGTTAGTTATCTATAAAATTTGTACACCATTATATCTTCTGTACAGAATAGGCCTTTGCCCAGCAGTGGGACTTTAGGAAGTCACTTTACTATACGCGTGTTATGTACACGCTATAGGTCAATTACATTTACATTAAACTGATCTTCTTTACTTGTGATGACGAGTGAATGTGAGATCCTTGGTTTCCATGCATCGATCAGGCTATAATTATGACGTCACGTCTTAAATACGTCCCACGTCCTTTGGTCTTTGCGACTACTGGCTCCAGAAAGACACCTATTATTGTCGAATGCGCGGCAACTCCTGCGTTTAGAGGGTCGTAATAAATAAACGAGGCTCAATAAATAAACGGTAGAACTCAAATCTGTTTGACCCCTAAGGACCTCCGATAGGTCCCAAACTAGTCTCTAGGTCTCACTTTATGGTCGCACGAAAGTTTTAATAATTTCGGTCTTGTTGTGTTCACGTACGAGCATGTTCTTTTAACCGCTCTTGTTATATGACGTCTCGGATGCTTTTACTCTTGAATGGTAGACATGGCTAATGGGATCACTTTCAAGCCAAAAAGACACTTAAGGACTGATAAGAAAACTACACTAAGTTACTTACTACTAAGTTATGTCATATAGCTAGACATGTTACTTCTCCAAACGATTTTAACGGAATATAATCAAATGTGACAACTCAGTCTGAACAAATAAAACTAACATTCCAAATTTAAAGTAATTCAAACATAATACATAAATCAAAAAGGTCACAGTTGACATCAAAAGAGTATGTATAATCTGAGATTACCAATCAACATTAACTGGGTCTTTGCCCCACTGGATTCCTAATCCAGAAAATCGTCGTGTCTATTACTAGATTAGAGTTACTTATTGTATCTTCTTGGGGAAGCTTTGGGATAGATATGCGTTGTAAGCACAATGTATGACGGATTCGCATGATTGTGGTGGTTGTAACTTGTCATTTAAAGGCATTGGATGTTTGGAGAGTGTGTCCCCTTTTTGATCACCAACCAAGGTGTCATGTACTACTGGTGCCAATAAGCTGTATCTTTAAGGTCGGAGAACATACGGACTTAAATAAGTATAATCGGTCTTCTCATGCATTGACGGTAGAACAACAATTTGTGGTACACACAACGCATAAGTTGTTTTGGAATTTGTGTGTTTTTTATGTCTCGGTGATGCGGTCCGTTTATGTGCAACGTTATCTAATATCGAAGCTGTACCGAGTTTTCCCTAGACGTCTTTCTCTTTCACCCGCTCGCTCCTTCTCGCTCCGTCGCTCCAACGCCAAAAGTCCCGTTCCCGCTCTCCGTCTTGTCCTCTCTAACACAGTCACTCCTTCCTCACAGCCCCTCGTTCCTTTCCCCCCGACCGAAGTTGCGATCGCGGCCCGTGTATGTACGTGTGTCCCTCTCTGTCTCTCGCGCCGTCTCGCTCTCGCCGCGGCTAGCAGGCAAGTCGATGGCGAGGGGCAGCGGTTCCGGCCACCAACTAAAGCGGCACTCGTCGAAGGGCCACTCCTCGAAAGGCCACCCCTCAAAGCACGCGTCCGTCACGAGGAAGCTGCAGCCGAAGATGGCGTCCGTGGTGAAGATCGGCGACAAGAAGGTCATCGTGAGGAGAACGGGGAAGTTCGTAAAAAGGAGAGGTAACCGAGGGGGATAGAGGGCGCAGCGGTCGGCGGATGCATGTGTAGTTTCTTTGACGTTTTTTTGTTTTATCTCCAGCCAGTTTCGTTGTCGTTTTGTTTTTTTTTTCCGTTTCCCTGCGCGCCGACGCCTCGCTTAGGCGTTTTAGTCTGCGATGTTTCAAGTAGTAGAGTTATCGATGTGGAATGTTTTGTTTGGTTTACTTTCGTAGTTTTTTTTTTAGATCCCTGTGCATTTTAGGACAGGAATGAATAGTGGGGACGGCGATGAACTTGCAGCCTGTCACGTTGGTTTGCTTGGAATAGAAAGTGGATCAATTCCGGTCAATTTCCGTGACAGAATAGCGACTACTGGAAGGTCAATTTTGTTTGACAATGTCGCTGCTGTCAGCTTGTGTGCCGTGTAGGTTTATTATTATTATTATTTTTTATTTATTAAATGGAGCTATAAAGCCAGCGATTTTCATCCGTTTCCACAAAAGCATTATTTTCAATGTGCATGCGTCAGTGTCAGTATTTAGTCTGTTGGTTTTTTAATGCGCTGTAATAACGTAAGGTGCCGGTAATATGTTGATGGACCTTTGGCTTAAAGTTTCTTGGAAGGTTTTTCCCGCGTGTCGGAGAATGTGTTGGCCCGCTTCGTTTTTAGCGTTCCGTACCGAAAGGGTAGAATGGGACCCTACTACTAAGACTCCGTCTGTCGGCCTGTCCGTCTGTCATCAGGCTGTATCTCATGAACCGTGATAGCTAGACAGTTGAAATTTTCACAGACGATGTATTCCTGTTGCCGCTATAACAATAAATATTAAAAAACAATATAAAAAATATTTAAGTGGGGCACGGAACCCTTTCTGCGCGAGCCCGACTCGCACTTGGCCGGTTTTTTGTTAACAGATGTTCTGCGGTGGCGATATTATAATGCACGACTCGTATATTATGATAAATTCTTTATTGATCTTATTAGTTATATAGATGTTTCTGGCGGGGAATTCCCTGTATCTAGATTTGGTACCTCAGTTAAAACTATTCGGCATGCGGTATTGTATGGTTATAGTTGTATGAACAATGCGATTTTTAAAGTATTTTACTTTGTTGCTTTTAGTTTTGCGTTAAATACTTCCTCGATGTATATTCATGCAGATTTTCTTTTGGTTGAAACAAACGATGGTTCACATAAAATTTTAAATGAAATGTCATAATTCGAGTTCTTTTTATTGTATTTTCAAATAAAATGTCATAATTAGTTTTTTTTTAATTTTATAATCATCATACTGCTTTAAGTTAAATTAAATTGTGCGTTTTTATGACATTTTTCCCATATGAATAAATGCATATCCGATATTCAAAAAATAATACCGTAAATAAAAAAAATTATGAATCTATTCATTTATAAAAAACAAAACCGGTTAAATGTCTACACGGAAGAACGTATAAAGACAGACTGTCACGATTCCTCCGAATGTTTCTCGTTCGATTATTGATCATGTTTTACTTATCTGTGCCAAATTCCAAACTATTTGGACCTCGATACGGAACACGGATACGGAAAGAATTTGAAATAAACTATTCCAAATCAAAGATCTACTTTCTACGATCACTATTAAACGACGAGAATTCGAAATACTCGCCAAGCAAAGGATAGCATTTCACAGGATTCAATTTTTCCGCAGACGACGATTCTGACGAAGGCGAGATGATAGTCAAAAAATGATTGTGTTGCCTCTGGTTTTATACGAGTGAAATAAATCTGGCTTATAAATAATATATCATTAAAAATTATATAACCAAACGCTACTGTCTATGGGACGAGATCCAATAAAGATTCTCAAACAAACTGATTCACTTCGAACAAATTACGATGTAACGAACACTAGGTATCATTAGAGATCAATTAAAATAATACGATAAAAACTTGTTCAGTCCTATCTTTAGAAATGGTATTTTGCATTTTAAATATTTGAAAAATAATAATTAATGTAATGGCAATAATGAGAGTAAATAAGCTGGCAAAAAGGTATCTGATGTTCTATAGCAATCCTTGCCTACCCAGAAAGAGACAAAAGGCGCGGCGGCTGTTTCATTTACGTCGCAGAAAAATTACACACCGACGCCAACTTTATTAAGTTGGGCACTTAATACGTTTACTATCTCTTTCATCGCAGGGGCCAAAAGAGGGACAGCTGATACTGTATTCATTCCCTTAAGACCTGTGCATTGTAGTTTAAAATCCATTTCATCATTCATTTTATCTAAACTTGCCTGGATATTTTTATCTGCATGCTTTTATCTGCTATAATTTTTTTCCATCTTTCCCTGCTTTTAATATCGCTGAGACTCGATTACTGTCACGAATACATTTTCTTCACAATCTGTTCTCACTATCTCTTCCAGACTGTTCATTGAATTCCTTGTACTTACCACTTGATCTCTCAAACTTCCCTCTCAATTTCTTTAATTTTCTTCAAAATTCTCTTTTTATTTATTAGATAACTCATAACCTCTTCGTCTTGTTAAAACTTTAAGATGCCCGTCTAAATCTTTTAAATCTCTAAGTCCTGTAGGACCACACTAAACCTTTTATACTATTAACTTGATCCTTAGACTTCTCTCTTCATCACTCAGAAAGCTTTCGTAATCTCTTTCAGATTCCTAACTCTATCTTTGAGACTTCTTTCTATACTTTTACATTCCGCTTTCTTTCTTTTTAGTCCTCTCTCCATCACTCAGAGACCTATCGCAATCTTTTTCAGATCCCTAACTCTATCTTTAAGTACCCCTTCTCAGCCCCTACATTCCGCTTTCAATCTCTTTAGACTCCTCTCTCAATGACAGTCCTCTCTGCACCACTAAAAGTGCTTTCGCGATCTCTTCCAGACTCGGCGGCATCTTCATCGACGGGGGACGCTACGCAACGCACCAAACGCAAATATACTAAGAGGACGCCCAGCGCGAAGAAGAACGACTCCGTTAGTATTCCAGCATCCTCTCATCATCATCCTCAGCAGGTGAAGAACCTTTCTTCACCTGCTGTTAAGTGATAACCGCCGCCTATTGACACTTGCAACACCCGTAGGGTTGTTTTGATAAAGTGTGCTTCGGTTGCCCACTCATCAGACGAAATTCTGAAGTATAGCATTTCTACTAGCCGTGATAGCTCAGTGTCCGGGCGCTCGCCTTTAATTCAATATACTCGAGCAATCTGCGTTCAATCCCCGGTGCCGGCACAAATGAAATTGTTAATTTTAATGCCGAATTATCACGTGCTCAGCGGTGAAGGGAAACATCGTGAGGAAACCTGCATATTTTCGAAGTAATAACACAAAAAAAAATTGGAAGATATGTGAAGTCCACCAATCCGCAGTGGGGCCGCGTGGTGGAATACGCCCTGATACCCTCTGTATAGAGGATCTGTATGGCCTTTGCCCAGCAGTGGGACATGTATAGGCTGTTTACTTTAGCATTTCTACTTCTTATTTCACGCCGGTCTTCTGTGTGGTCACGGTAATTCCTCGGACGAGCCTGCCCATTGTTGTAACAGCGAAGGCTGTTGCTTGGCCCCAACATAGTTTAACTGTGGCAGGGCCACGCAAAAGTGTTACACGAACGGGGTGGTCCGTCTATGGTTTAGTACCAACGACCTCACAGAAGACCGGCGTAAAGTAGAAGTGTTACACTTCTGCGTTTCGTTTGGCGAGTGAGGTAGCCGGGGCCCACGTTATTTAAAGGTGGCAACGTATTTGCAACCATATGGTTGTTGCAAATGTCCATGGGCGGCGGTTATCGCTTAACATCAGGTGACCCGCCAGCTCGTTTGCCATTTTCTCGCATAAAAAAAAGTTAAATGTCAGCACGATGGCGTCACAGAAGACCGGCGTGATGCGGAAGTAATACTTTAGGTTATTGATGCCATTGCGTTTTCACGTGATTATTGTCGCCTTGTTTTTATGTGAGAGTTTCGCAAGCGAGCTGGCGGCTCACCTTATGTTAAGTGATACCCAATCTTAAGGCGGTCTTCAGGGAGGTCGTGGTACTTACCAGAACGAGCCGGCCCATTCCTGCCACAGCGAAGACTATTCTGGGGTTGTTACGTCTGTAAGCCCACGGGTGATGTCCACCTTAGATGAAGTGGTTTTAGATACTTTAGATACGAGTCTTTAGATAAAACGGCAAGGAGTCGTTTGAAATATTACCTGGCTAGGTTCTACTGTCTTTATTAGACTTACTGCTTGACTCTTCTAGAAGGGGAAGCAGACTTAAGCATAGTGTTGGCTGTACCAAACTTTAACCAACCCTTAATGAGCAGCGTGTACATTATTGTTACTCGGTTGAGACCGATCAGTGTGGATAGAACGAATGACGTCACATCTGCCTGCTCCTTCTAGCAGACACCGACGACGGAAAGAGCGAAGGGCAAGAGAGGGAGACCGCGGAAGAGTGAGCAGCTCGCGTCCAAGCAGCCGCAGCAGGCCAGTGAGTTCAGTCTATTTTATCTATTTTCCTCCGCGGGATCCTTCTTCTCTTTCTTTTACGTAAAGTTGAAATTAAGGAATTGGAAAAAATCGAACGCTAGGCCATTCAATTCCAGTTAAATAGTAATTGACGTCAGCCGTAATCAAAGACGTCAATTGCCAATTTTGAAATCTAACTAAACTTTACTTCGACTGACTTTCAGCTCGAAGACTATTAAATCTTTATCGAACGTTAAACCCTAGCTTGAAACGGCCCTCCGAGTTGGGTAGGGCCGCGCATGTTCACATGCATTGTCTACGATGTCATTGTCTATGAGTTTCGGTTATGTACGAGTGTTCGGTACGGTACGATTGCCTTTTACTATAATTACTGTTCTTAAAACATGTAGAAAAAGTACGAAAAGATTGTCGCCGCTGTGGGAATCGAACCCACGTCTTCGGCATTCGCGGCCTGACACTCTAGCCACAGCTAAACGGCTGATAGCCACAGCGACGAAAATCTTAACGCCTTCTTTCTACATTGTTATTTAGCATTTAAAGCAATGCTTGGCGCATCTATTGTTATATCCTTTCCAGCATACAAACAATTTCGAATCGTTTTACAACGATAATTCGAACGAGAGATGTCGCCATTGCTATTTTCTACATGTTTTAATGTTCAATCTTTAGTGCAGAGATTAGCACTATAAAAAACTTTAAAAATTACCTTTGTAACCAGCAAGGACAGCCCAAATCTTTGTACACGCCATAACGTTAATGAGGCGAGTGATGTCTGTCACAACTAATCGGACCTCTCTCTCTCTCTCCCAGAGATCCGCGTACGCAGCAACCTGATGCCGTCCAGCACGGAGCCCATCACCCTGGACAGCGACGACGAGCCGGATCTGGGTGAGCGGGGGCGACATGCACATGTTTGTTTCGTGAGGTGCATGTTGTCATGCAGACATGCGGCGTAGGACAAATCGCGGCGCCTATACCAATGAGATTGCTGAACGTAACATTGACCGTCCTGTTTTACCGTGATCAGCGATGAAGGAAAATATCTCGGGACAATCTAATCTAAGACAAATCTAAGAAATAATAAAAAAATCCAAAATAGTTTCAAAACGTCAGCCAGAAGAAAGGCGAAAGCGCTAATATACTAGCACTTAAAAGCCGACCTATCCATGGTCATGCGCGCAGCAGAAGTTGCCCCGTCTCATTTATCCAACACACAAGAAAACCCTCAAATCCGTAAGTTTTCATACGCGCAACTTTTTTTTGTGACAGTGGCAAACGCGCTGGCGGTGCACCTTGTGTAAAGTGATAACCGCCGCCCATGGACCTTTGCACCACCCGCAGGGATGCGTTGGCACCTTTTAATAGAGTGGGCCCCGGCCACCTCACTCACCGGACGAAACGCGGAAGTGTAACACTTCTACTTCGCGCCCGTCCTCTGTGAGGTCGTGGTACTAGCACGGACGGAGCTGCCTATTCGTGCGGACACCGTTGCTTGGTCCTACCACGGTTAATGTACCACACCACAGAAATACTGCCACAGAAAGTGGTCTACCACAGGAACCGGTCTACCACAGGAACCGGTCTACCACAGGAACCGGTCTACCACAGAAACTGGTCTACCACAGATACTGTTCTACAACGGAAACTGGTCTACCACAGAGAGTGGTCACTTCAAAGTGTTCGGCTCGGTCCCGCTTGGGAATCGTACCCGCCCGCCGCATTTCCCGTCAACGTGACCGCCACTGAACGGGCCCAATGGATCCTATTGCAGGGTCGCCGGGCCAGGCCTCCGACTCGCTGAGCCTGGACGAGAACCTGCGCGCGCTGCGGCACATACACGAGAAGTACGCCAACATAGACAAGGTGAGCGGCTGCGGAAAGGGGGGGGGGGGGGGGGGGGGGGGGTTGGATAAGAAGAACGCATGTTCCTTCTCGTTGCTGGTGATTATGGGGGATTACCGTTTTAAAGTAACCCGTTTCTAACCGGGACTTCCGCATAACATGCCCATGACGCTTACGATCTTGTGGCGTAGAGGATTTTTACTACGACGGCGGCAGATCCCTCAACGCTAAGGATGATCGTGTTTCGAAGGACCGTCCCGTGTTCAAAGTCGTTCATCTACCCGCTAAGCGGTCTAAAAGAAGATTTTACTATTAGAGAAAGAGAAAATAAAAATAAAAGGAAACTTAACTGGTATTTGTACAAGCTATTTTTAATAAATGTAAGTGTGGTGAATACTGTATGTTTCCCAAATAAAGAAATAAATAAACACTTCTTTTTAAAACCACGTGTATTAATGCCGTCTCGGTGTGTCATTTGTTTGTGATTAATGAACGAATGAATCAATGAACGAACGGATTTGTCGGAACCATTGAGATTACAAAACTGTGTCACCGCGAATGTCCCGTTTCTCCGTCAATAGTGGGAACGAATCAATTGCAGGACGACATGTACGAGGCGCACCTGCTGGCGGCGAACTTCAAAAAGCCGCCCGCCGACGGGGGCGGGGCGAGGGGCCGCGTGGCCACGCCCACCTCGGCGAGGAGGGACGACGACGACGTGCTGTCAGTGCGCAGCTCGGACGGTGAGAGCGCACGCACGCGCACACGCAAACGCACACGCACACGCACACGCACGCAGTCACGCGCACACGTATGCATAGGGACTTCGAAAGTGGAGAAATATATCGATATTTATGATAATACTAGCGCACCCAACAAACGTTAACCGATAACCACTTATAAATTAAAAAAAAAAATTAATTGTGAATGTAATCCATTGCCGAATCGACCCGAAGACACATACAAGTTCATTAAAATCGGTCCAGACGTTTATGACAGACACGAACAGAAAAATTATATATATAAAGGTATATCGAAGGAAAAATATCGATATATTGATATTCTCTCTTTAGGTCCTAGAAAACCCCTCGTTCAAAAAAAAGGTGTGAACTTTTACATATTTGACGTCTACGGACTGTGCCGGATTCTAATTTAAAAATATCGTTTTTGTTATTGTCTATTTTGTATTAATATATTGGTATATGCAATATAATCATATATTATAATATATCGGCTGAAAATATCGATAAATAAAAGCAAAAATATCGGTATGTCGATATTTTTTCATACACATCACTAGTAAGTGATACATATAAACGTACATGCTTGGTACGCCTAATTACCCGTAAGTTCTGTTAATAAAGGTAATACAACGTTATAGTATATAGAATGATAAAAGTACATATTTAATTGCAATATTTTCTCAAACAATATCGAACAATCGCAAATCCGTGTAATAAGTCTGCCTTTTGGCTGCTTTTTCAGAAACGATCTTTTGTTATACTCAAAATTAGTTTACCCGTGCGAAACTAAAGTAACAATCTGTATAAACGGTGTAAGGGCATAGTCCACCACGCGGCTCCACCGCGGATTGGCGGACTTTATCTTCAAAATATTTTTTTTTCATTATTATTTCGAATGTATACAGGTTTCCTTAAGGTGGACCATCTTATGGTTCTATGTTGAATAGAGATATTTGAATTTGGAATTTGAATTCAACAGGTGCGTCGGTCAAGGACCTGGACACCAGGGTGGAGAAGCTCGAGGACAGCTCGGACTCTGACAGCAGCACCTCAGGATCAGGTGGGTTCGCGTCCCACTGCTGGGCAAACCCTCCGCGGCGCAGTTGCCTGGGCATTGGCTTCGCCGCTGGGGGTCGTTGGTTCGATTCCCACGCGGGACAACTATTTATGTGACCCACAGATAGTTGTTCCGCATTTGGGTCTTTGTCCGCGTAAATTATGTTTGTAAAAACGTCTTACAATACAGGAGAATGTCCCAAAGTGAGTTTAAATGTATATATATATATATATTGGTAACAGCCATTGGTTGCCTGGAAGAGATCGCTATGAAGCGATAAGGTCGCCAAATTGTGCATTACATTAATTTGTGTTCGTTTTCTTATAATTTTGTGTGTAACTACTATTTTATGTGTGGTGGACATTAAAAGTATTCATACATTCGTTCGTTCATTAATTTGTTCATTCATTCTTTCATTCATTCGTTCATTCATTCGTTCATTCATTCGTTCATTCATTCGTTCATTCAATCGTTCATTCATTTATATATTTTCATTACAGGCAGCTCGAGCTCCGGCAGCAGCTCCTCGTCCAGCTCGGGCAGCTCCAGCTCCTCGGACAGCTCGGACACGGAGTCGGAGGGCGGCGGCGACAGGCCCGACGCCGACGACCAGCCCAAGCCTGTCGCCAGCGCGCTGGAGGACGACAGGTTCGGCCACTGTAAAAAAAAAACGTTTTTACTAACAAACCAAAAAGTCTATACATGTCCCACTGCTGGGTAAAGGCCTCCTCTATGCAGAGGGTATCAGGGCATAGTCCACCACGCGGCCCCACCGCAGATTGGCGGACTCAAAGAATTTTTGAAATCAGTTCATTAACGACAGAGTTCTGAGGTGACAAACATAAATAGATAAAACAGAATTCAGAAACTCATCCATTTTGAAGAATATACTTATACAGGGTGATTTTTAGATGAAGCACATACTTTGATACTATGTTAATTGAGCATTGTATAATTTAAAAAAAAATAATAGAAATTTAAATTGTTTATAGTGCTAATCCTTGCACCTAAGATTGGAATTTAAAATATGTAGAAAAAAAAATTATTTCGACAAGAAATAACCAGAAAAATATCAATTCAAACATTGTTTATTTATCCCGTTAAAGAGTGGTCACCCTATTGTTAAGCGGTTTAGTAATTATGCGTTCAGCGAACAGTTTTAGTGCTCGTGAATAGGTTATTGTATTAGACGGTAAGGCAGGAATTTCTAATAGGGTGTCCATGTTGGAAAAAATCAAAAATTATCTTTGAAAAAAAAATATGAGGTCACAAGTACGTACCAGATTCAGATTTAGAATCGAATTCTGCATATGCTCTGTTATTATGTCCGTCGTCCATAAAATCGTATAAAAACTGTTTCGTTTCTCACATAATTTTGAACAAAAAAAACCGACTTCAAACAGAAAACCATTAAAAACATTGTCAACACCTATAACATTTGAGGATTACCCTCAATTTCTCCGGGATGCCATCATCAGCTCTGGGTTTCCTTACCATTTCCATGGTACTACCCTTGGGATATCTCCTTTCCAACAAAAAAAGAATCATGAAAATCGGTTCATAAATGACGAAGATATCCCTGAATACACATAAAAAATATATACGCTCGAATTGAGAAACCTCCTCCTTTTTTGAAATCGATTAATAAAGGCGCGCCGTCCCGGTCTATCGGCAGGTCTTTCGGCGCGTGGTCCTCGTACAGCGCGTACACCGGCTCGGGCTCCGGCTCGGGCTCCGACGGCGAGCCGGAGCCGCCGGGGGGCGGAGCGCCCCTCGCCGGGGGCGAAGCGCCCCGCGACGACGACATCAGCGAGTCGGAGAACGAGTCGGCGGACAAGAGCTTCCAGTGCCACATCTGCCGCAAGTGGTACTCCACCCGGGTTACCCTGAAGTGAGTCGCCCCGTGACGTCACCGGTGCACGAGAGTGAGGGAAGATGGAAGACCGAGAGAGAGATATTTGTTGTTTATTAAATGGATGCTAAATGTGAGTTTTACTGATGGCAGTTGAGGTTTCGTTACGCGAGAGAGAGGGAAGGTAAAGACCGAGAGAGAGATATACGTTGTGTTTAAATGAATTTGGTTTTTGCCGACGGCAGATGTAGGACACGAGAGAGAGGGAAGATAGAGAGAAAGCTAAGCCTTGTGTGTCCGATCCATATGAGTTTTACTGACGTCGGTTGAGGTTTCGTTACACGAGAGAGATGGATGATGTAAGCACACGGCGACAGAACTATACGTTGTATATCTGATGAATGTTTTTTTAACGACGGCAGTTAAGTTATTAGTTACACGAGAGAGAGGGAAGATAGGAGACAAAGAAAGAGAGCTATGTTTTGTGTATCTGATGGATGTATTTTTTAACGACGCACTTGAAGTTTCTTTACACGAGAGAAATGGAAGATGTAAGGAGACTGAGAGAGAGAGGGAGAGATGTATATATACGTTGTATATCCGATGCATGGTTTGCGTAAGTGGTTTTTATAGGTAATTTATAGGACAGCCAATATATTGAAGCTCAACTGCTGGGCAAAGCCACTATACCTTACGAAATCATATATTTATTTTTATGTAAACTTCAATGTTTCGATTGATATATGCATCTATTGGATAAAGATATTTGGAATTTGAATTTGTTCGGAGAATGTAAGGAAATAGTTACGTTACGGGAATTTGGACGCTTATTGGTATATAATTAACATTGCCTTTACTGTCGACGGCCTTACCGTGTACATACAAACCAAAACTGCACACGAACAAAAACCCAGATGGTAAACAACTATTTGCTGGTCGCACAGAGAATAGTGTGGGAATCGAACTCACGACCCTTGCGGATGCGGAGTCATCAAAAGCACTCTCCTTTCTAATTCTTCGCCCCCCCCCCCCCGTCTCTTTTTTTAATGTGAACGTTTTCAGGCGAGCAGGTGGTTCACCTGATGTTACGTGAACACCGCCGCACATGGACGTCTGCTACACCCGAGGGTTTGCAGATGCGTTGACAACCTTTGTGATAATTGGGCTCCGGCTACCTCGCTCGCCAGACGAAACGCGAAAATACTATACTTCCACATCACGCCGTTCCTATGTGGGGTCGTGGTACTTACCCGGATGGGCCCGCCCATTCGTGCAACAGCCGCGGCTGTGGTCCTACCACAGCGGGAGTCGAACTCGCGACCCTTTGCGGGGTCGTCAAATTTTACACTGTTGCACGAACGGGCTGGTCCGTCCTGGTTAATACCACGACCACACACAAGTAAGGAGTGTCTGCGTTTCGTCTGGTGAGCGAGGTAGCCGGGGCATTATTAATGCCCGCTTCTTACATTCAACGAACGGCCGTTAGTCACAATGCTTCGTAACTATCATAACGACTTGTATATTAAAGGAACGCTAGTAACTCACATTCCGTAGGTAGTGCAACGGCTCGTAAGGAAAACGCCTCGTTTCGTTAACATAAAAACCGGGCGTTGTTCGTTGAATGTAGGAACCGGGCATAAAAGGTGGCAACGCAGCTACAACTGGTGTTGCATGCAACCGCGGGCGGCGGTTACCGCTTAACATCAGGTGAACCGCCGGCCCATATTTTTTTGACGCCAAGCGTGCAGGCGGTACACCTGATGTTGAGTGAACGCCGCCGCCCCTGGACGCATCAGCTACACCCGAGGGTTTGCAGAAGCGCCGACAGCCTTTTGAACCTCCCCCCCCTCCAGGATCCACCGGCGCGTGCACCTCAGCAGGGGCTCGGGCGGCTCCAGGTCGCGCGCTCGCTGCTCGGAGCGCTACGAGTGCGACTGCTGCAGCGAGACCTTCAGCCGGCGCGACAGGCTCACCGAGCACAAGTCAGTGGCGCCGGTCTACTCGGACTGTTCCGTCCGCTCGGTCTACTCCCGCAACTTTGTTTAGGCTACTTGGTCCGCTCCGTCTGCTCGGTCTACTGCGACCGCCTGGCGGTCTATTCCGTCCGGTCTGCTCTGTACACTCCCTCAACTTTGTCCAGGCTCCTTGTTCTACTCCGTCTACTTGGTCTACTGCGACCGCCTAGCCATCAATTTCGTCTGGTCTGCTCTGTATACTCCCTCAACTTTGTCTAGGCTACTTGTTCTACTCCGTTTACTCGTTCTGTTGCGTGAACTATGTCTATTGAGCCCTATTGGTCTATTTCGTCTCCTTGGTCTACTCCCTCATCTTTGTCTAGGCTACTTATTCTACTCCGTCTACTCGGTCTACTCCGAACTATGTTCCGTCTACTCGGTCTGCTCTGTCTGCTCTTGTCTACCGCTTCAACTTGAACTAGTCTACTTGTTCTACACCGTCGACTCGGTCTATTGCGTCAACTTTGTCTATTGGACCTACATGGTCTATTCCGCCCACTTAGTAGTTACGTCCACGTTAGGGAGTAGACAATGAATATAGTACTCTATTGGCCACTCAAATTGGTCTAGTCTACTTGTTTTACTCCTTTCACTTTATATATTCCGTGTAATCTGTCTATTGAGCCTACTTGGTCTTCTTGTTTTACTCCTTTCACTTTATATATTCCGTGTAATCTGTCTATTGAGCCTACTTGGTCTACTCGGTCTACTTGGTTTACTCCGACTTCTTGGTTTATTCCGTCTATTCGCACCACTCCTAGTTGATCCGCTCCTTTCAATTGTACTTTTACGTCAACTTTATGTATTCCATCAAGTTGGACCACTCTGTCAACTTGTTCTCATTCTCCACTAAGGTTGCTTAAAATGATAATACACCCTCGAAACCAATTGAACGCTTCAGGCGCTTTCAAGTGGACTTCGATACATTATAAACGTGTTTCTTTGTCATAAAAATAGAAAATGCTAAAAAAAAAAATATCCCGCTGAGTGTCTCCATCGGTTCTTCTCAGGTCAGCGGTTTTTCTTGTACGTATTGGTGGTAGTGTTTTGACAATAAGTGTGTGTAATGCTTCTATGTTGAATAAGGATATTAGAATTTTAATTTGTTCGTCAATGTATCTCCAGTAGTAATACGAATCGAACCTTCTTGTATCTTGTATCTTGTATTAACTGATGTTTTTGCTTTCAGTCCCGAGACTATTAAAGCTTCATCTGACGCAGAACCGGTGGGCTAGCCAGAACCCACGGGTTTGGGCCCTCCGCTGTGGGTAGGGCCACGCATGTGCTCATGCGTGCGTTTAACTATGGTGTGTCATCTAAGGGCCGTCGAGGTCGTGGTTCGGACCGAAACCCCGATGGCCGTCGACTGTGCAATTAGCTAATCGGTGGCTGGGGGCGGTGAGAACCGCCCTGGAACGCGGGTGTACCTTGTGTACGCGTTGTGTTGGTCTCGCCGTGCTCGGAGGCGAGGGCGAACTAGTGTGTTTGTTGTTGCACTAACTGTGGGTGTAGTGTTGTCCGGTGGGACCCCCGGCAGTGGGTCCGGTGTGTCTAAGTCCCTAATCGAACCTACTCCCTATAGTGTAAAAGACGGTCCACTCACCACTGGGCAGGTGAGGTTCCACTGAAAACCAGCAATCACGAATTTTTCTCGCGATGTAACGCTGAGTGGGTGACCATTTTGGTGCATTGATTGCTAATTTTTAGGGTTCCGTGCTCCAAGGGTAAAATGACATTAATAAGACTGCGCTGTCTGTCCGTCTGTCACGAGACTGTATGCAATGAACCATGATAGTGAGATAGTTGAAATTTTCACATATCCGTTGCCGCTATAACAACATATACTAATAAAACAAAAGCAATAGAAATATTTAATTGGGGCTCACATACAACAGACATGATTTTTCTTTGCCGTTTTTATAGACAATGGTACTGAAACCATCGTGCGCGAGTCCGATTCGCACTGGGCCGGTTTTTCATTACTTTTTTGCCAAATAAACATTTCTTTCTTTCTTTCTTTTTTTCTTTCTGTCTTTCTTTCTTTCTTTCTTTCTTTCTTTCTTTCTTTCTTTCTTTCTTTCCTTCTTTCTCAACGCAACCTTGTATCCTACAGGGCGGAGGCGCACCGCGGCTCGATGACTGTCCGCTGCGAGGTGTGCAGGAAGTGTTTCGAGGACGAGGCGGAGCTCGCCGCACACGACGAGAACCACACCGCAGACGAGAGGGCCGGTCGGTGCCCATTTAACTACCACGGCCAAAATTGAATGAATGAATGAATGAATGAATGAATATTTTTTTAGTTTCAACAACAAACACAGTTATGTTAACAATTAAAAGAATATATATCTAAGACATGAAACCAAATAGGTATGTACTCGGTATGATTTCCCGATTTTCAGTACATACCAAAAATTTTAATTATAACTAACAAACTAGACTAAGATTAACACAAATCGGGTAGATTAATTTAAGGACAATAACACAATACCTACTGATTATAACACAAATCTGGTACATTATTCTAAAGACAGTAACACAATAACGACTAATGAAAATTAACATCAATACGTAAAAAGCAGTGAACAGAATAAAAAAAGAAAACTATTTCCAAAAACAATAGTTTTCTTCAAAATTCGCGCTTACTACGTTTTATTGTTGAAAAACGGACGAAGGGGATTTGAAAACGATAGCGCTCTACGCGATACGCACCCTCCGCTCTCTATGCTGAGCTAAAGGGCTTATTCGCACCGGCACTTCGAACATTCCCATTCCTGGATTAGGGTTGTCGAAAAAATATCGATATTTTAAGATGTTTTCCTTCCCCTCTGAGCAAGTGATAAGTCAGCATTTAAAATTAACAATTTCATTGGTGCCGACACGGGGGATCGTACTCAGGTTGCTGGAGCATATTAAATTAACCATCACGGCTTACCATACGTAAATAAGTCCTGAATGATGTAAAGTGATAACTACCGCCTTTCTGCAACACCCGTTGGTTTGCAGATGCGTTGCCGCCTTTTAATAAAGTGCGCCCTGGCCACCTCACCCAGCAGGCGAAACGCGTGGCCCTACAGCCGATAGTCCAGTGGTCTTCGGCCGCGCCAATGTGAACACGCCGACAGAACATTGGCGTGTTCCAGGCTCACCTCGACACTTTTACCTGGACACTCGGCTTCCCCTTACATCCAGAGATTAAAAAAGACTACAGTCGCGACACTTCCGACCGAACACCGTCGCGACACACGCCAAAACGACCAGGACGCTCACCTTACACCTACCTCCGCAGACCCTCCGTAGACCCTCCACAGTACCAACCGTACGTCGTTGCAGGCCGGTGCATTTTACATTAAAAAAAAAAGACGTCAGTCGCGACATTTCATCAACTTTTCAACGCATTCATGACGGTCCCTCCTACCTCCACCCTCCATACACCCTACTCAGTAGACGCCGGCCGCGACACTTCCGACCGAACGTCGGCGCATTCCAAGCCGACCTGGACACACCTTCCACCTACATCCACCCTCCGCAGACCCTCCACAGTACGAACCGTACATAAAAAGAAAAGGCGTCAGCCGCGACCACGCCCACCGCCCCCCACTGCCGTGCCACTGCAACCTTGCGCCGCGTTGCAGGCCGCTGCAGCGCGTGCGGCGCCACGTTCCCGCGCTACGAGCAGCTGCGCAGGCACCGCGCGTGCGCGCACGGCGACGCGGCGCCGCGGCTGCCGCACGCGTGCGCGCAGTGCGGCAAGCGCTTCGGCCACGCGCACTCGCTCACCAGGCACATGCACAACCACGCGAAGCAGCTCTACAGATGCGTCGTGTGCAAGGCGAGTATGCTACAGCGTTCTTCAATCAACTCGCTATACATTGAGGCAACACGCACACGTTCACCGTTCACGTGCACGACCACGCGGAGCAGCTCTACAGATGCGTCGTGTGCAAGGCGAGTATCCTACAGCGTTCTTCAATCAATCAACTCATTATACAATGAGCTGCGCTAAATCACTCTATACTATTGTTAAACACGATGCTACGAAGCCACGTACGCTCGCTCACAATGCTCATGCACAACACAACCACGCGAAGCAGCTGTACAATTGCGTCGTGTGCAAGGTGAGTATGCTAAAGCGTGATCCAATCAATCAACTCACTTTACAAAGAGGGAACACGCACACGTTCACCGGTCACGTGCACAACCACGCGAAGCAGCTATACAGATGCGTCGTGTGCAAGGCGAGTATGGTGCGCTAAATCAGACCACGCAATTGTTAAACACGATGCTACAAGGCCACGTACGCTCGCTCATTGGGCTCATGCACGACCACACGAAGCTGTACAGATGCGTCGTGTGCAAGGCGAGTATGCTACCGTAGAGCATGCTACGGTATTTTGCACTATAGTACGTGATTGTAAGAGGGTACGCAGCCCTCGTATCATGTTTCAGTTCGACTACAATGAGGCGACGCGCACTAGCTCACCAGGCACATGCACAACCAAGCGAAGCAGCTGCACAGATGCGTTGTGTGCAAGGCGAGCATGCTAACCCAGGCCTGATGCTATGGTGTTTTGCGTTGTAATACACTATACAACGGAAATATCAACCGGTTTTTTTTTCGGTTGTACAGGCGTCCTTCTCCCGAGCGGACCAGTTGGCGCAGCACCTGAACAGCCACCTCGCGAACTACAAGCGCCTCAAGCCCTAAGAGCTGGTCACGCTACGGCTGCGCCACGACCGCGCCACGACCACGCGCCACGACCACGCGACGACCACGTCACGACCGCGCCACGACCCACGGGACAACGGGAGAGTGCAAGCATGAATATACCTTCACGGACACACAATATTATAATTATATTATATTAATATAGAGTTTTATTTACTCTGATGTTTTATTTTTATGGTGATCAATTCAGTGTTCAAGTTAGACACTACAAAGTCGGTTTGGACGCTGTGTCATTGGCTCTGTAGTGATATTAGGGCCAGTCACGGGAATAGTGTATGCGGTGACCCAGATAGTTTTATATAAATGTTATTGTATATAAAAAGTATGCGTGTACTTATGTACACAAGTAAGAAGTTATACTTCTTTAGCGTAACAAAAGAGTAATAACTAAAAATGTTGTCCCCTGTGCCAGTACGCTTTGTTTGTAAAGAACATTAAATGTAGTTGACAACGGTGTAATTAATTCACTTGGAATTATATGTAAATGTAAAAAAAACAGCTGTTATTGGTTGCCATGGTAACACCGTGAAGTTTGCTTTGCAACCATCTTCATTATGTCGTGGCGTTCACTCACAAAAATAAAAATTTCGCTCTCGATAACTGTTTTCCAAACGCGCAATAAGAAGTATAACTTCAATAACTTTTGGAATGGAGATAAAGAAAGCAATGTCATATATTCGATTGCAATACGACAGAGTTTTTGTATTGTTGAACAATGTATTGAGGACCAACACATGTAGATTTTAACTCAGCACTTGCACGCCTAATCTGTTGTTGCCAATGATTTAATGATTTTATTGTCTGATTAGTGAAGAATAATGAAGTAATGAAAGATTTTTATAGTCTTGCCGGTTCATCGTTGCACTGGTTTAGATGTAGGGAAATGTGGTAAATTTTAATGTTCATAGGAACTTGTTGCAAGCCTTAAATAATATTCGATGTTGGTTCCGATAAGTAAAAAAGTTTGGTAAGAAAGGTGAAGGTGAATATTAGTACGAATAAGATCAGTTGTGTTTATTATTTTTATATTTATTTGATACGAAAACAATATATTATAGCCTACGTCTACGTCTCGTATTGTATTCTTCACAATTGGTTTGTTAATAAATAACTTTTTGCGTCGTATTGAGATTTTGTGTTGTGCTATTATTCAAATAAAATTGAAGCCCTGTTTTATGTATTTTCTTTCGAATCCATTTGTCTCGCGTCAATCCTCGCCGCTGTGGACTAAAATTATAAGAGATTCTTTTGTTTGGGAAGCTTTGATATTTCCAATTGAAATTCAACATGGTCGAGACATTTTACTTTCCGAATTTTATTAAACCATAGTTTGCTACAAAAATAGACGTTAAATATTATTCGATTGAGCGATTCGTCTTACTTGAGTGGTGACAAGTTAATTTTTTTATTAACGAAAAACAAAACCGACTTCAAATATCTCGCTCTGTATTCATTTTATGATTGATTTTCAGGAATTCACTAAGATCCAATGAGATCCAAGATCCAATAGCAATTAAATTAATATGCGACAACATAGGAAGCACCAGCTGTGAAATAAAAAAGAATCGTCAAAATCGGCTCACTCGGTCGAAAATTCTGAGGTAATAAAAAATACATTGGAATTGAGAACGTCCTCTTTTTTTAAAGTCTGTTGAAAATCACTCGACACCTTGGCACCAACCAAATGTAAAAGAAAACACTGAACATTTAAAACACTCAATGATTAATGCACCAAACTCATTATTAGAAAAATATCGTGTAAAATAAAACACAAGAACACAGCATTTTCGGGCCCAATAATTTAATTTAATTTATTAATTCCAATTAAAGCGATTTTTTTTTATTTAAAAACATTCGAGCAACCTGAACACAACATAAGCCAATCAGATCGCTTTGAAATAGTGTCGGCCAATCAGGCGCGCTGAAGTCATGCTGCGCATCAATGCAGCACAACGGCGTAGGCGCCAACTGTTTAAAAACTTAAATCTTTGATTATGACGACGACCCGAATGGCGTAGTGGGTAGTGTACCTGCCTCCTGCGATAGAGGGTGTGGGTTGGATCCTCACTACTGGAAAAATATTATGTGATGAACATAGTGTTTTCCAGTGTCTGGGTGTTTATTATGTATAATAATATGTATTTATTTACAAAACAATAGTATGTGTACCCACAGTATAAGCGTTGAATAGTTTGAGACTGGAGAACATTGTGTAAAGATGTGACTTCATTTATTTATGTATCTAAATACGTCTAGATTCCTAGTCCTGCTCGTCAACGTGTCAATATTACAGATCCAGGAAATGCACTTACATGCCGAAAACCATTTTTTGGGAGTAGATTTTGCCAGATTTCCCTGCACACGAAGTCTTTTAATTTTTTTTTAGGAACCAAACATTTATGTTAATTCTATATCCACAAAACCGAGTACCGCCGCCCATGGACTTCTGCTACACCCGAGGGTTACAGATGCGTTGCGACTAAAGTGAGCCCCGGTTACCTCACTCACTAGACGAAACGCAGAAGTGTAACACGCCTACTTCGCCGGTCCTCTGTGAGGTTGTGGTACTGTGCAAGTCCGTTTGGGATTAGATAATTTAGTGTGAAAATATGTCCTCATTTCATATTGATAATCTTGGTAATAATGATTCTGATGGTTAAAAAAATAATGTTTCTAAAGCTTTAGTCTCGTTTATAATCTTAGAAATTCATAACAAGAATGCTCTTTGTAGCCCATCAATCAGTTGGAGATCGATAAATTTAAGTAGAGAAATTAAAAAAAAAACAGAAAAAATGAATATAAACTGTCTGGCTAAAGACTGAACCAACAAGATAGTCTCTAAAATAATTCGCGCGTTTTTGGTAGGTAAATAATGGAGATTGGATTATCTAATTCATTGCGTCCTTGACTAATTCGGTAGTTATAATAAATTTCAAAAATAGATATGTCACCATGGGTGGTTGTTTTATTTAACTCGTTTAGAGTTTAACATAAATTCTCTTTAGTAAAATTAATTTTAAATAAAACTTTAAATAAAATTTAAATTCTAATTCAATTTAGTAAAATTTATAATCAAACTCGAAATGATACAGAGGTGCGTTAGTGTTACATTTGTATAATAATATATATATACTGTCCTGTACACCCGTCTTAAAATCGAAAATTTCAAACATTTTTTGAATAGCTTTGTGAATCTAAACCGTTCTCGAATCCACCTGAACATACACAAAAAATTTCACTAAAGTCGGTCCAGCCGCTTAAGAGGAGTCCAGTGACATAAATACGTAAAGAAGAATTATATATATATATATATATAAAGATATATTGATTTAATTCTTCTTCTATATATATATATATATATATATAAAGATATATTGATTTACTTATCCTTTTTTGACCAAAAAATATGATGAAACAAAGACGGACTTAATGACTAGCATTGCTTGCCGGGCACAGGCTTAAACCCCAAAACAAATTCTGATTAAAAAAAAATTAAAAAAGAACATGGGTCTACTGCAGACTGCCACGAAGCAAGAGTATAACTCCGTGGCGATGTTGCAAAGGCTTCGGCACTTGGAGTCACGGGTTTGATTCCAACACATCATCACCCTCCTTTTCCTCCATGTTATTAGCGCTTTTGGTTATGTTTTTATGACTGGCCGCCTGCCTGACGTTTTTTTTCTGAGAAAGTGGCAAACGAGCCGGCGTTTCGCCTGTTGCTAAGTGATAACCGCCTGCCCATGGACATTTGCAACACCCGTAGGGTTGCAGATGCGTTGCCACCTCTTAATAACGTGGACCCCGGCTACCTCATTCCACTTCACGCCGGTCTTCTGTGAGGTCCTGGTACTAACCCGGATGGACCTGCCCATTCGTGCAACAGCGAAAACTGTTGCGTGGCGAAAACTGTGCCATGGAGGGTTTCACGGTGGTAGCGTGAAACCCTCCATGGGAGGGAACATAGCCCCTTTACCTATATTATCCTGTGCTGTAAAGGCGTTTTACATATACATATTACGTGCCGATGGAAAATGTACAGTATCTACAGTAAGGGGGCTATGTCTTCGAAGGGAAGACTATAATAGATATACAATAGTATGGTTGGCAACCCTAACTACAACCTAGATCTTCTAAGTTGAAGTTAGACTTGCCAACCATATTTTATAATAAAGTATTTTACTTTATTTTTTATAAAGATACTTTATAATTTTGCATTAAAATGTGAAATTACTCTATTTTTCAATATTTACTGTGATGCATAAAATAAAACAATTACAATGTGTGTATCTATATGAATAATTACTGAACTTTTATCAATACGTCTAAGTTAAAACAGGACGCTTTCAAATTAGCAGCATTTTCTGTTAATTATACTTTATGATTTATGAAATACATTGTTTCAAAAAATCCTTTTTTTTTCTTCGAAATACATTATTTTTCTCTACTTGAAATAAGATTTATTTTTTCTCAAAAACAGTTGGCAACCCTAGTTGCAGTAGTCGTCGGGACTTGCTTCCCAACCCGTTCCACACAAAATACGAATACATACCGTTTGGTGTAACATTATCAAAAGAAAAATAGATACCTGCCAAGTGCTAGTCGGAGCCGCGCACGAAGGGTTCCGTACCGTTATATATAAAAACGGCAAAAAAATCATGTCTGTTCTATTGAGTCAGTGCCGCCTTTAAATTTTTTTTTATTCCGCTGTTTAGTGTTTGTTGGATATAGCGGCAATAGGAGTACGTCATCTGTGAAGCTTTCAACTGTCTTGCGATCACGGTTCCTGAGATACAACGTGATGATGGACTGACAGACAGACAGACAGAGGAGTCTTAGTAATTGGGTCTCTTTGGGTACGGAACCATAAAACACTATTTAAAGATTTTTTGGCGTTTATTCTGTGTTATCAAAATGTGCTTCAATCAAATGGTGCTTTTGTCTGTGTTAATTAAAACGTAGTGCCTATCCTAAAGAGATAGTGGAACCTGTCTCGTTAAATGGCGCTATTTTTCACGTGATGACTACGTCAGGGTCTTGGCGCTTGCTTAATTTAGTATACTCGGCCTGCGTTTTAACTAATACTACTACATATTGTACTACATCGACTAAGTCTTGTTATAAAAGAACATTATACACTTCATTAAGCCGTGATAGCTCATTGTTCGGACGAGAAGTTCGGCGCGAACACTTCCAGTGTTGCACTTCTGCGTTTTTCTGGTGAGTGAGGTAGCCAGGGCCCACCTTACTATAAGGTGGCAATGCGTCTGCAATCCTGCGTGTGTTGAAAATGTGAATAGGTGGTGGTTATCACTTAACATAACACAGTTGAACCATCAGCCCGCTTGCAACCTTCTCACAAGAAATAAGTTAATTAAGTTGTGGATTATTGAAGAGAATAGGCAAGAATTCAGTCGACCATTCGATGTTGCATTTAATTTTTGTTTGTAATATTTGTCAATTTGCTTTTGTCTTTTAATTTGATCAGGTGCAGACGACGATATTATTTGCTAAAGAAGCGAAGAACAAACTTTAATTCAGTTACAGTGGGAATATTCTGCGAGTTGCGCTATGTAAGTGATTGAATTATAAATTGTAGCAGTTATATCTTACATTTATGTTAAAAACTTTTTAACTGTGGTAGGGCCACGCAGCAGCCTCGGCTGTTGCACGAATGGGCAGGCTCGTCCGGGTAAGTACCACGACTTCACAGAAGACCGGCGTGATGTGGAATTGTAATGAATTCTTTTGCGTTGCTGTTGAGTGAGGTGGCCGGAGCCCAATTTTCAAAAGGTTGTCAACGCATCTGCAACCCTCGGGTGCAGCGGATGTCCATGGAGGCGGTATTCACTCAACATCAGGTGAATCAGGCTCGCTTGGTAACTTTTCACATAAGAAAAGGGCAAATATAAATAACTTTAACTCTGGCGTAATTCAATTAAAATAAATTTTAAACGATAGAGAAAAATCTCTAATGAATTAATCAAGTTTTCGAGAAAAAAATATTTAAAACTTGTTATTTTTAATAAGAAATCCACCATTTTATTTATTTGACTTCAAAAACTCAATACACAGTTCTGCGTATGTGTGTAAAGGGTTTTTGAGATTTTAATGTGACGTAAAAGGTTATATGTAGATCCAAAAGCGGATGTGTTATAACAATTTACAGAAAGACTTACATTACATAAAAGATATACATCACAATACACAAAGAGATAGAGTAAGTGAAGGAAAAAAACTTGTATGTCAGAGATATAAAACGCCAATAGAAAGTGATTGCGAAAGTTTTAAGAACATTTTACATAAAGGGAGACACGACGTAGACGACATACATCATAATATACAAAGAAATAAATATTGCAGTGAAGAAAGAAAACTAGCATAGCAGAGATATAAAATACAAAGAGAAAAAGATTGCGACAGAGTCATTGAAAGAAGAAAACTTGCAAAATAGAGATAAAAAGTGAAGCAAAACGCAAAATATAAGAATAAATACTTATATAGAATATTTCGCGTATTCAAGATGAATTGGTTATTTTTGCTGCTGCCGTCAATGCTCCATTTTGCGTCTTCATATCGGATCCTCGCTGTGTTCCCGGTGGTCACCAGGTCCCATTACTTGACTGGACGTAGGTAAATACCCATCTCTATACTTCATATAAATTAATAGCGGTCTGTTATTGTGCGCCCATTGCTGGATGGGGAAAAACTACTTGATAAATCAAGTAATTCTTCTAAGTTTTATTTATGACATACTTGGTACTTATCTTAAAAATAATGTGTCATCTTTTCATAATTAAATGTAAAATTATTAATGTTTTAAGAAACAACGGTTTTTGTGAGCAATAATATCCTTTTGATATTTTTTCCTCTACACACAAAATACGTTGTTAATATAAGATAAAGATAATTTCTATGAGATGGTGTCTAAAAAGACTCAATGATTTATAATTTATTATATGAATGGTAATACCTTTATGTTGCTTGTTTAGTAATAAAGAATATCGAGTTGATGCGTGGGCCACGAGCAGTGGGGTCACATGGTGAACGCACCCTGCGTAGAACAAAGTGACATCTGCAAAATTGTAATTGCTCAGGACGGCCGATTCAAATTATAATTTTTTATATTGGTCATAACTTTCTTATACATGGCAGTTGCTATTACAATTTTTGAGGTTTGTAATATGATTAGGTATATGAACAAACAATATACTTTTTGAATAAATAATTATATAAATTTAGGAAATAAGAGGTTTCAAGTGTATGACGTTTTCCTACGGAAAATGGCAAACACTAATGGGTCACGAAATCACATATACACGTTTATATTATATAACGTTGTTCAACGGAAAATTCCTAAAAATAATAGGTCACAGGTTCATTTATAACGTTGTTCTACTAAAAACTCATAAAATATGTGACATAAACGCATGTAGCACTGTTTTTAACGAAATATCCATAAAAAAGTGGGTGACTGTGCAATAATTATCAATTGACTAATAAAGTATATTATACTCGTCTATTACATTAGTAAGGTTAGTCTAGTCAGTACAAAAAAACAGTGTCTAAACGTACATACGTCCTTGTACTGCGGAGCACAAATCAGATAGAACGTTGTTCTATTCTGAATTTCAATATCTATAAGTCAGAAGAAAAAAATTAAAATATTATCTGAAAGCGTAGACAATAATTAAGACTATCCGACGATAAAATCAAATTCGTTCTATGTGACCACAGAACGTTATTCTACGCACGGTGCGATTGTGCCCTAATACCATCTGTTCAGAGGAGGCCTTTGCCCAGCAGTGGGAGATATGCAGGCTGTTACTTCAATTTTACTTGTTCTTTTAGGACAAATATTAAGAGGAGATAACTATTGCAGGATTATCTTCGGGCTCCTGAATAAAGGACACGAAATTGTATCCATTAGTCCCTACGAAGAAGCCGTTAACTTGGTCAACTTCACATGGGTGCCAGTGGAGGTGAAGTCGATTTTTGAATCAGGTAATTTTGACAGAATTGGTGATGAAGTTTTGAAATAGTCGGTCAGGTAATTTTTACAGGATTGGTGAGGAAATTATTAAAGAATTGATCAGGTCTTATTGACAGGATCATAGCCAGTTATTTGACACTTAAATATGTTTACCATATACTCGAATTATAGTCCACTTGAAAGAAATTCATTTCCAGAGTGAGTTATCATGAAACTGATACACTTTGAAACTTTCGTGGGGTTTTCAACTGTGTACTTAGAAGCAAAACTCAATATTTTTATCTCTTAAACAAATTTCCAGGTCCAGTAAACTTAAGTATCTGCTGGTACCCAGGTATTAGTTTTTTGAATCTGGTAAGAGCCCCTTAATTTTCCTGGATGACCCAATCTCGTTCCTCATCGGATATTTCAGTGCCAAACCTCGAGCAGGAGATAAACAGGCAGTACAATTTCTTCAGTTACCAATCATACGTGTGGCGGACTATGAACATTTACGCGAATCACATCATTAATCAACCAAAGCTTAGAGACTTTATAGAAAATGACGAATCAAGATTCGACCTGATATTAGCCGAGGAGTTCTTCCTGCCGCTATTCTACGCATTCGCGCACAAGTACCGCGCCCCCATGGTGATCACAACCCCCTATGGCGTAGCTCAGTACGTTAACGAGTTCACCGGAAACCCGTTGGAGATGTGGCGGGCTACGCACGAGTTCCTCGAGCTCACCGTAGCGCGAAATGCCTACGAGAGGGCAATGAACTTCGTGTGCACTGTGTTCGACATAGTAGGCAGGAGGCAGAAGTTGGTTTCCTATCAAGATCGCCTTGCGAGGGATGTCTTCAAAAACGTACCGAACCTCCCACACTTAAGTGATTTGGAGCGAAACGTTGATCTAGTACTGGTCAACTCGCACTTCAGCCTAATGGATGTTATGCCCAATTTGCCGCACGTGATTGAGATCGGCGGTGTGCATATAGAGGACGTGAAACCTTTGGGAAAGGTGATACAATTTTCATTATTGAAAATATTTTGCGAGTCTGTGAAATTTTTGAAATTAGTAATCCGATGTCATCTTCATCACGCAGGAGTTGCAATCACTTCTCGATGGCGCCACCAAAGGAGTCGTTTTGTTCAGTTTCGGATCGATCTTGAATCTGGATTCGCAATCCGAGGAGTTTATCAACAAGACGCTGACTGTACTCGGCGAATTAGAGCAAAAAGTGATCGTCAAATGGGATTCTAAGCGAAAAATTTCGGGGGCCTATAAGAATATATTTCCCTACAAGTGGCTGCCACAGAACGATGTTTTAGGTACCGCGTTATTTAACTACACTTCTTTTTTGTACACTTCTCTTTATGGACATGGCAACAAATTAAGTAATTTACTCGTTGGTAAATGCAAACCACCTTCACAGCACCAAAGATGTAGTAGGCCTGTTGCTTTCGACTGAGAGTACTCGTCCGGATACTAACCGGATGGAAAGCAAAAGTATTAATACTTTTTCGTCACGCTGGTCTTCTGTGAGGGTTGTTCCTGCAAAAGAACTGTTCCCATTTATGCAAACAGCAGAAGCAACTGGGTAGATCTCAAATAGTAAAAACTATATAACGATATCCACTTTTTCCAAGCGATTGGGGAAAAACTGTGAACATACCTATACTAATTTTCGCAGCGCATCCCAACCTGGTCCTATTCATAACGCACGGCGGTCTATTGAGCCTGTACGAGGCGGTATACCATCGGGTGCCAGTTGTCTGCGTACCGCTGCAAGCGAGCCAGCCGAAGAACTGCCTCAGGGTCACCGAGATGGGGTTGGGCGTGCATCTGAAGACCGAAGGTTTGACCTCTGCGTCTTTCAAGCAGGCCGTGGTAACGGTACTGAGCGATCCCACTTACGCAGCCAGGGTCGCAGCGTTATCCGCCAGATTCAAGGACAGGCTAATGCCCCCATTGGACACCGCGGTCTACTGGATCGAACACTGCGCCAAGTTTCGCGGAGTCGTTCCGGCGAAACCGCCGAAAAACTATCGGCTGTGCGATGACTTATTCGACTTGGCAGTGGCTTTGATCGTTTTGCTGCTGACTCTCTTAAGTGTCAGGAAGCTGATTAGTGCCGCTTGTCATCGGTAAACAGTGGAAGAGTGACGTTCTGTATTTTTCTTCTTCTTCTTCTTTATTCTGCCTTTAGCCCACACTAGGTCGGTCAGTATTGAGATGACGGCTATCAGCATGTCATCTTAATACTGACCTCTTTCACAGACATATTATTTGTCACACAGTCCATCCAAATCTTTCTCAGTCTTCCTCTAGCAAAAGTAACTTTCACTCTTCCTCCCATTGAATAAACCTTATTTAGTTTAATTCAACATACTTGAGCAACCTGAGTTCGATTCCCGGTGTCGGCATCAGTGAATAGTTAATTTTAAGTGCTGACTTATTACGTCCATGTACCTGCATATTTTCTATTTGATGTGATCCACGAAAATTTATTACATGTTATATATTTTATTTATTTTCTCATCGCAGGCTCATCTTTCTTTGGTTTATCTGTTATCTGTCTGAATAATAAACTTATCAATTTGAACATGACAATTGACACGCTTTTATTGATAGTAGTAAAGTATTTGAACCTGGGGTACAAGTCAAATCAAATCATTTATTCATCGAATTAAGAAATATACATTTCATCTATCGATAGTAATTTTTAACCGAATTCATTTAAATCTACCACCGTTTCGTAATGGAAATGTTCGTTCTCTAAGGGAAAAAAAGGCGAAAGAAACTCCGTAGGTCCTCTCTTTTGTTAATTTTTTCCGAGATGACCGCGATGCGTCAGGTGTTGAGACATTGATTATTGGTTGACATTGATTACATTGACTGAGCAGTATTCCTCGTCAGTCGGTTTCTTTTTCTCCGTTCACAGCCCTTTTGTCTACCTAGCCGAGGCTTTCAACTGGAGCCTTATTTATCCGAGATAAGAACTCCCGCAATGTAAAGAATATTAAAATTATTGCCAATAGATGATGATATTTTCTATAATCAGACATTTCCAATTGTTTATAGAATCATCTTCATCTGATCCAACAATTTGAGTTGATTTTTTGATTTGACTGCAGGAATTTGCATATTTTATGATGTATATCGAAAGGTTATGAAAATTGTGCCTTTGTTGATAAAGGCAACGATAGGTATGATAAATATGGTACGGTGTGTATAATATATAGTGATATATTCCAGAACTGGGTCATAAATAAAACGCAATGGTTTATTTTAAATGTTTTTTATTTCTCATATCATCCTTACATACTATATGTCATATGTATGTTTTATAACTATATTATGCTATAGGTAGGTACAGGGTATATCATTTATAGGCATACTATGTATATTTCCATCTCATTGATAACTTTTAACTTTTTTAATTAATTCTCAATTAACATAACGTATATAAATCGTTTCGGGTTATGGGGGAAATAATATTCCAGGTATTGTTATTATTGTTGTGACAAATTATTATTAATTTTTCCTGATTTGGCTTCAGCCAAATTAAATGTTTAGCTGTATATTGAATATCGTTTTTTTAAAAGTCAAACTTGTGAGATCACAAGTCAACCGCGTCGAAGAATATACTTCCCCCATAATTCGAACACTATTCAACGGAAACGAACGAATACACGAAGAAATTCAACGAAGTAAACGTAACATAGAAGCGAAGATCTTACAATTTTAATATTCTTAATTCACTATCTCGTTAAACACTAAATTTTTTTTCCCACTAAATTTATGCGAGCATCATAAACGAAATTAAAAAAAATATCCGAACACAAAACAACACCACGCCCGGCCGCCATCTTTGGAAAGTTCGAGAGAGTAAGAAAGAACAAAAAAAAAAAAAAGGGAAGAGACAGAGAAATCGTCATCCGCGGCCAGTCTACAAGTATTTCGACACCTTAAATATATCACATTAAATATGTAATATGATACACATACAAAGTAGGGTAGGGATAGTCGTTAAATTTTAATAGAAATACAAAAACGGGGGAAAATTACGATAAAATCACTAACACTTCGTGGTCGTTTTTGTAAGTTCGTAGCATCACATTGTTCTTTCATTTTATCTCAACAAACAAAAGCTCAGATATCCGTCTAAGTACAATGGTAAGTGTGCGCTGAGTGTGTGAGAGAAATCAAAGATGTCCCGAGATAAGATCACGGCTTACCTATGACTACGCGTTGACAACATCGATGGACGGTACAAAAAAGGAAGGGGACCTAAACTGTCTGATAGAAGCTTGGCGTATCACCGTAACATTGGCCATTCAATGTAAATTATCTGTGACGATTCGTGTTCTATCTGTGCTCGCAGACAGTTTACGTTATCTGTGCAGCTTCGGCGCGTAGCCGCGACTGTCGAAAGTGTCAAAATACGTAACCGTTTCGCAGTCGCAGCATTTGTCGCCGCCGAAAGTTCAAGGTGTGTAAACGATAAAACGAATGTTACGTGTACAGATAAATTAATCTCGAATGTTCTACTATTAAATACGCGTAAATCCGTTTGTAATACTGCTCTCGCCGCCGCGTTGGACTGTCAATTGCACGTCACGTGTCACGTCGATCTAGCGTTACATTAAAATAAAGAAATACTACAACACGACTATTGCGACAATTATTGCTGGAGTTCGTGCGATGTTCGATGTTGAAATCATCCTTTCGTTCCCAAATAGTAAGTCAAAAGTTGACAATAGAAAAAAAAGAAACAAATAAGCTGTTGAAGATTAAAAGTTTCCGTTTCCAAAGTTTCAGATAAAATAAAATTTTCTTAAAATATAACAGAAAGAATTCTATGATATATTTGTATGTTTTATAGTTATCAATAAACAAAAAGTGACAATTGAATTTTGGACCTTCGATCTTCAGGATCTCAAGTTGATTAAAATCAACAATCAATTAAAGTTAAAATTTTGGGCAGCAAGATAAAACACATTTAAATAAAACCATACTTTGAATATTAAATCAACGGAAATATACATTATGTTAAAAAAGATAACTATAGCAATTATGTAAACGAGTGCAACAAAATGTAACATAAGTCGAAACTATCAACAGGTTTCTGTGCAATATTGTATAATGATACCGAACTCACTGATTGCACCATTGGGAATCGTATCTTAAGATATCTGCAAGATTCATTGCGCAAATAATAATCCCTGGAACATCTTAACATAACTAAAAACATTAAAAAAAAAACAAAAGTAAAAGAAAATAATAATCGTGAAACAGACATCCATCCATCAAGTGGCATGCCTAAACAGCAGCAGCTTTGGCTGATGTAATGCTGAATGAGGTCTATCAGGAATATACTGCGGGCCGATAGTAGAACAACGTATAGAAGAAATACTTATACTTCAGCTTTTTGACCATTCAGTGACACGAAGAACCGGATGCGCCCCAAAAGTTGGTTGCGCACCATCTCCACTGATCTTTGGAAGTCCATGGTCGTGGTTGTCATATGAACCACTTGCTCGTTCGTCAGCTTCTCCAATAGGATAACTAAACTTGAAGCAGGAAGGACTTAAACATCGAACAACACACCTATATTACAAAGTTATTACTATGAACGTAACGTAACATCTATAGAGACACGAAACGGAAAGAACACGTGGGCGCACCGCGCGTCAGCACTAAACACTCGCGGACGCAAGCCGAAACGATAGTAGCGACTAAAACTTTGCGTAGAGAGACCAATACCAGAGAAGGCATTGCAGCCTACCATATTACCGTTCGTACTAAAAACATTGCATTAAATATAATATGAAGTGACTTTTGGTGTCACAAACGCACCCTAATAATTCCCAACAACTGTGTAAGTGCATTAACTCATAACGACTTATCGAGCATTCTTTTCATCTTCGAACCATTGTGGCAAAATGAGGTGATATAAGTCTCTCTGCGCAAATACTCTATAGACACGGAATGTTCGTATCCCTTAATTTATACGTCTCAAAAAATATGTCCTTCATTTTAGTGTACAAAAAACAATCATCCAAGAGATCGAGCTCTCTGGGCCACTTTATATCACTACAACACATCAAAATTCTAGCATCCACTAAAACAAAAGGAAATCTACTAGATCTTTAGAAAGGAAAACACTGAGTAATCGTTACATACGAACACTATATATAGTCTAAGGTTCTGCGGCCCTGAATGGGACATCATGTCGTTCTTCATTCAGTTTCATTCCACACAAGTATTATATCTTGACTAATTAATAGTTGTGAAGGCCATTCTTTGAAATGCGAATATAATTATAATTCTTTGAATTAAATTCCGAAAACTTCCTACGTGAAATTCGTTATGTGATCAAATTTCGGATAATATATAAACATTTTGGTTGCATTATTTGGACCAGCTTAGTGCGTAACTAATCTTTTAATAAAATAATATAAATTTTATACGAATAAACTCAATGCCTAGTTGGAACAAACCGCTGAAAACAGTCTTATATAATAGTAGCTATCAGGTGTCAAAGTCTGTTTAAAGCCAAATACAGAATATTAAATGTTAATCACTTATTTCGACTGACGTATTCTCCCCTATGGCACGTATTCAGGGCCGCAGGACAAAATTTAGAATCACTCTTAGAGGATTATATGCTTAAGTCTGAACAATTGGTGTTATATTTATATCTCTGTTACAGTACACTTAGCGAGACGACTAACTGAAAACAAAACTAAGGAGTTTGGCACGCGATGCGTTTGAAATGGTACATTCGTAATCGAACGATAATAGGGTGACATTTATGATGATTGCGATGACTTAACTGCTGAAGTCGGTGATGATTGTATGCGTTATTCTGATTAGTAATAGACCACTCTGAACATTACGGTGTCTGTAGAGGAGTTTGCCCTTTTTGGGATTTGAATCAAATTCTTGATTCTTTAAATCGGATAAGATCCATTTATTTATTCAAAACACTATTACCCAAATTAAATTTTTGTATTAGATTTAAGTAGATAACTGTTACATTAAGGTTTCATAACGTAATGTAATCGCTGTGGCCTTTAGCGTAAAGTTTTAATATTACAGACAAATTGATCTTGATCTTCAATTTGATTGCTATAAGTTGCATAGCCTGTGCATTCTCTGAACTTTTCTGCCTGTACTGACTAACTTCTGAAGTTGTCAATTGGATAAATGGATCCGTTAGTGTTGACTTAGCGTTACCATCCCCACCGTCACACGAGGGGGATTCTTCTGTTTTATGTATTATAAATTCCGAACGTACCATTGCAAACACTACGACATATACGAATAGAGTCTAAATCAATTCATCTATAGCTGGAAGTTCTTTAACATACGTAAGGCATATTCGAGATCTCGTCCAGATAGAACGCTTATAGAAAGGACACACCGACACCGCATAACAATGCACGGGATGCAAATACAAATTTGGTGTTATCAATTGGGACTTAGAACTTATACGAGACACCTTAACGACGACATGGAATGCATCGAAATGATAGAAACAATCAACCACCAAACTAAAAACGGGAACAACACGAACAAACAATTGAATAGACTACCTATCTAGAACGATATACGCAATTTTTTATTTTCTTGTGTATATATATATATCATATAATAATTTTAATATATCTCGCAATTTCACCTAGCTAACACTTCATAAAACCGTCACGCGACGGGCCGCCGTAACGACGCAAGTCTGTCGCCTTACCTAACGTAGCGACTATGTATAGTTGAAGTACGATAAGCAGCAAGATAAAGGCAATGGCGCGTCGTCTGCGGGCGTAGGGCGAGTCCGCTACGCGAGTGCAGCAGACGGTGGGCAGCTTAAAAGTACGTCTCGTAATCACTAAGCCGTTGGGGACGCTACCGTCGGGAGGGTTGGAGAATTGCCCCCTACAAGGTGGCTCGTCTCCGTACAAAAAGCCCGCCTAAACAGCATCCCTCCCCTCGGCCGCGTCCCCACGGCGCCCTATCCTAATTGGGTACATACGTAACTTACCGTATCTCCTATTACAAGCGATTATAGGCATTAATGTAATCATAATCTCCCTAGAAACTAGCATCATTATATGTCGACTATAACTAAATTTGACTATCTAAAACTCTGTCATACACGTTCTTTGCGATATCTGCAGCATCTGTGTCGCGCCTCGTATGCCGTGTTTGAAATTATTCACCAGTCGTAATAAGCGCATCCAAATAACGGGCGTCGTTAACGAAAACGATCCGTAAATATCTTTTAAAACACGACACATCCCTCACGATTGACTGGATGACCGTAAATTGACTTAACAATTCGTTCCTTAGCCCCAATCAACTAATGTAGGTAATGTATCATCATCATATATATAAATATCTTATAATAACCTCTAGCGATATGTCTCACAAGTTTTTGTCATCTACATGCTCGAAATTAAAGTACGCTAAGTTTGGAACGAACAGAACTACGACAGACAAAACTAATTATAATCCGTTCACGTTTAAATACAACGTATAAAATACATCATTTACAAAATATCATATAGATCAATAGAGACAGACGGGCGCGGTATGGCGCGCTGTCATTAAAAAGTTTCAAAAAAGACGGTCTAGAGTCTAGAGCGACTCCGTTACATTAACCACTGGAACGTGTTGCGTCACGTTGGAATTGCGGCGTGCCACGTCACGCACGAATTGCAGCGCGTTTCGTCACGTTCAATCTGCAATACGTTTTAGCGCACTCGAATGGAACGTGTTCCGTCACGTTCCGATTGCAACGCGCGACTTAAGATTCAGCCACGCCCGAAATAAACACAGCAAACGTGTAACGTTCCGTTCCACTGAAATCAAGTCGGTCGTAACATAAGAAGAAGAAACACTCGTCACGCCACATTCGTATTTCGTCTAACTACAGTAAAAGATTAAATGCTCCTTAACTACTAATATGCAATAAATATTTTTTCTTTTCACTTATTCCAATAAATAAATCTAATATTTTCCTACGTCTCGGTTAATTTTCTCTTATTCATCTTATTCAGCGAAGTTCTTTATTTTTTTTAAGTGTTCTTTTACATTTAGACACAACCATTTTGTTTTATAACAGTAGTTTTATAAGTGAATTCAGTGATTTCGAGAGATACGGTTCTGAATTTGGCATTGTCTCGTAAATGGAGAGCGACAGGCTTAACATTGGATCCGGACCGCACTGAAACACTTTACTCGGTGTTCCAAATTTATCCTATATCGCTTACACTTACACAGCGTTCTCGTCTGATATAAAATTGTCTTAAAAAACTTCTCACTCAGTGATGTGACCCGTGCCTACGTTTCAACTAGGGTACCTACTAAACATGTCTCCAAAAATCTACATTGTTTTTTTGTTTCACCACTCTAATCTTAGTCTATGCTTGTGCTATCAGATGTTTGGTACCGTATCACCGCGTTATTCCCTCCCTCTATAATATCTCACTTTCCTTTCAAATCTTCACCGATTACGCTAAGGTCCACCTTATGTTTACGTACACTTAGTACTCTTAACTTATCGCTTAAATTTTAAATAATCTTATGTCGAATAACTATATATTTTCTAAAAGTTATTTTTTTTATCCCATTATTATAATAATCGCACATATAATTATGCCCTCATAAGCAGCGGTAGAAATAGATCCTTCGGTAAGACTGACTCACATTCTTTTTCCTCATCATCCGAAAGGGGAATGACCTAGGGTGGTCGACAGTAGCTTAGATTAATCAGGAGTGTTCTAGAACTGTAGCCTCGCTGTATTCCGCGTACGATCCGTGACCTGCTGCCATTATTAAAAACAAAATCATGTACGAAAACAGAAACATTTCCGACACACCTGAATCATCAGCAGTAACTAACATAAAACCAACAATATAAAGAAACAAAAATACGAATATCACTCTTAAAATTAAACTATTACATGTAAACTATACTTAACCCTTAATAATGATCGATAATCAATAATCGTAATAACAAATGACTAGAAGTCGCAATGGCATGATCAAAACACGAAAAGTAAACAAGTAACATAGATTAAAAAAAAAAACAAAAAAAAAAAAAACCAAAACAAACTAGTTTAATCTAAGAATACAAAAATATGCACAGCCATCTGACCAGACAAAACCCAGCACTATCTGAGAAGACAGAGCGAGCAAGTAACTCGTAAATGCAGAGGTAGTCAACACAAAGGCAGGTGTAACATAATCTATTGGAACGTGAAGAGGCTAAGAACCCTTAAATCCACTCCTTCTGTTGACAGCAGCAGGATGGGTCGTTCGTGGCGGCGCATCCTCACACGAGGAGACTGGGAGCGAGCCATTCATCCTCCCCGATCTGAAGGGATCAAGAGATAAAATATTATCGGACTGTGTGTAAAGTGTGGCTGAGTTACTTTCCCGAGATGGATTCATGCAGCTGAAGCTGCTTATCTACCTATTTTGCTTTTCCACCTTATACACTTGAAATCCAAAACTATTGGAACTCTCCACTTGGGTAAAGGTTCTTTATCGCGGACAGTTCTTTACCATGCGTCAGGTCAGTTAGTCAAGGATAGTAGATATCAATGATCTGAGATTTTTTAACACACACACACACACACACACAGCTAATTTTATTTATTCCTAAGGAAGATTGACAATAACCGAGGTGAGGTCAGAACAATGATAAACATGCTGTTCTGACCCTACCTCTATGAGGTAAGGGGAGCAAAAAGAAGATACACCTACTAGTGCTGTTACTAGTTA